GAATACTCCTCACTCTCTTGTATGCTTCCTCTCCCATTCACTATCTCTCTCTCTCCCTCTCTCTCTCACTCTCTTGCTCAACTTCTTTTTGGGCCACTGTGTGCGCCTGTTCTTTTAGTTGCCATTATGTACGCCAGTCGGCGCTCATTCCGTCAGTCAGCAACTTGTTTTTGAAACACGCACACAGTTATACGCTTCGCTCGCTGTACAATGTACATATACTATTAGCAAAATAAGCAAAAGTGTACAAAGTTTATGATGTGTTGTGGCAAAAGTAAACAACATTAACATTTTGCTGTTAACGTGTAAGAAAATATTGGAAAAGCAATTGAAAGGCGGCATAGAGAGCGATAAAAGCCGAGGCAACAACACAGAAGCACAAACAACAAAACGTTAACGAAAAGAAAAAAAATATAAAGCTGTAGTCTCGTGGGTCACAAGACCAAAGCAGCTGTGCGAGAGAGAGCAAGAGCGCGGAAACAAGAGAGCAGCGCCAGCAATGCGGCTGAGCGTGGGAAAGCTTTTAAGCACACTGCTGGCCAAAAACGTTGAGCAACGTGAGCTTTAACTGTAAACAAGTGAGCAGAGAGTCTCGTTTCTTATTGTTGTGATTGTTTACAACATGTGGTTTGTTGTGGCACTTTTTGCAATTGTCGCCGTCTGCGGCGTTGCGGGTCGAAAATGGGGTCGATACCTCTACCTGCATTACGGGCGCCACCTGCTGCCACGCTCGATGCTCACCGCCAAGAATCGCTCGCCCACGCCGCCGCTCTCGCCTACCAAAGATGATCAGAGCTTGGAGGCGTTGCTCGATGAAAGCGGCGAAATGCACGAAACGGTGAGTGGGAAGAGCAACAACCAAATAACAGAATGCCCAAAGAACAGAAGCCTGTCAGAAACAATGGCGAATTGTAGAATTACATTCAGTCATACATATGTACATATATGTTATTTTATATGCTTGTATAGTTATTTTATTAAGTATTCCAATCACATTCTCTTCCAGGCTAATTGCCTGAGCTGAGATGCTTCTGCTATTATGGCATCATTATTACATGCGTTACACGTGTACCGTGTACAGTATAATAGCATAGTGAATGGGAGTCGAGCTAAATGAGCCCCATTTATCCGTCTGTCAAATGCCAAGCACTTTAATTGCATAACTGAGTTTGGGTCAATGCGCTTAAATCTGCCCTACAGGGTCAACTTTTATAATGGCTCTTTTAAAAAAGACAACCTGTCAGCTTTATGATTGCCTAACTTGTACATCTAAACGTCAAAGAATAATTCAGTATTGCAAATAAAAGGAAATGAAATAAATGTAACATGTGGCGAGAAAAACTGCACACGACAACAACATTTAATTTCACGCCCTCTTTATTTACTGAAGCAAACAAAAAAAAAAAATCGCCGATAAGTAATAGAATGAGAAAAAATAAGGAAATTATATTCCGTGCCGTACCGATAAGATGTTGGAGCACAAAGAAAAAAAATGTACTTTAAAGATTGGTTTCTGGGTTTCAAACTTCAGCAATAAGAAAGTCGTAATATGAATTTAATTCTCTGGGTTCGCAAAAGTATCTTAGATATGTAAATGTGTGTTGAGATACATTTGGTAGTAGTTGTAGTAGATGAGGCACAGTTAAGCCTTCTTCTCTAGCCTGTGTATGGTTTCGCATGGCTTTTTGTTGTGGTTCCGCTTTGCGACTTTCTTTCAAGTGGCGAGAGAAGGGTATCAAGTTACTTAAAGACCCGGCTAAATACTCGTTTGACCGGCCGGTTTGGCTCTTTTCGTTCGTATGGCCGGTTCTAGGGTTGAGTTCCACTTTTGCACACGTTTTCTGTCTGGCTTTTTGGCCCAGACATTTGGCTCAGACTCTCGACGCCGCGCCGCATTTCAATAACCAAAACCAGTTGATGCACAGCCGTTGTAGAACATGTTTGCCGCGGCGCCCAAAGCCAAACACAAGGTACAAATGCAGTTGTGCACCCACCCAAGTGATTGCCAAGTTTTCAATATAGTGTATCCCAGTATATTTGCGGACTCAAAAAACAGTTTTCCACCAATCAATTCTCAAATGTGCTCCAAGTAAATAATTCGTAAAAGACATCGACTATCTTATCAGGCAACAGAAGACAGAGCCTTACTAAAATTTGTTTCGGCCTGGAGCTTGGAGGCCATTCTATATACATATTACTTTTACCGCTTGCTTCGCAGTTTACAAATTTTGTTTTGTTTGGATTTGATTCGAATTAAGTCTAGAAGCTTTCCTCATTATATTGTTGTAGTCCTCACCTCACGGAAGGGCATTGTACTGCAAATGAAGTGCTCAGCTGAAGCTGAGAAAAGATTGGAGAATTACTTTTAATTAATGAACGTATCGGTTGCATCTCACTCAGCTATCGGCCGCAATGGAGTCAAAGACTAAACGACATTTAAATATAGATTGTTGTAAGGGAAACAATGTGTGCGGGTTTTTTAACTGAGCTGACGTCATCTCGTCTAGCTCTTTCGATCAGCTAAACAGCGGAAAAAGTATAACCATGCACGCCATTATTTTAATGCGAATAATACAAACTTGGAACAGTATCCGACTCTGATATACCCTGCTAGATTAAATTGACAACTAAACATAAATAAAACGCTTTTGAGACTTTCGAAATTGGTCATCTGATATGCACAGCATTAATATACCCGTTGGATTCGTTTAGTTACAGGGTACTCACCAGCAGGCAATTTACTTGATTAATTTTTTATTTTATTTATATATTTTTTTTTTTTTTTTTTTGCGCGCCTTTCAATTTAACTCAACTCAAGTTTAAAAACAAACTCAAACACAAACTCGTCTGTTCCGCTCTCGAAAAAAAAAAAGTATAAAAATAATAATAATTTGCTAAGTTTTGTGTTAATTGAGAGACGACGACGCCGACGACGACGACGGCCCGGACCAAAACAGCTGCCAGTTGGCTTTTGAGCGCGTTACGATACAGTCGGACGATATCCGTATGAACTTGGTTGAAAGTTCCCAAAAGACGTTAAAAAGAAAAACCAATTAAATGTACCACGTGCCGGCTCTGAGTTTACCTAACATAATATTGCGCGTATTCCGTTCGAGTAGATGAAAATGTGCGAACTGATTGTCAATCATGAGCAAATGCTCAGCCGTCAGGTACAGCATTTAAGCCAAATGATTCATATACAAATACCAAAAAGAGTGTTTTACGTATCAAATTGAATGCAATCAGAAACTGGTTAACCGATGGGAGATATAAATATGAGAGCCGCATTTATAAGTCGCAGTCGCAGCGACTGTCATTGACGTTTGACTTCTATCCGGGCCTAACTCGCTTATGTATATAAACAACTTAAATTGACAATATATGTCGAGGGGGGGTGGTGTATTTTAGGGGTTGGGGGGAGGGACTGTTTGAAATAATATGCCCGCAAATGTCACGCTTCAATTCGCTGCTTTTGTTGTCACTCGGATGACGGCTCAGTATAATTAGAGTCTCTCGACAAACAAATGAGTTTTGTATTTAGCTCTAATTGGTCTCTGGCCCATTTGGCCAGCTCAGCTCAGCTCAGCAGTTGGCCTAAAACGAAAGACTCCTTTGAAATGACGCATGGAAACCAGTCAGATCATTTGCATCAAAACCAACTTGATCAAAAGATCCATTCGCCAATCTTAGCTCGAAACAATTAATGATTAACATGTGAATCTAGCCTTCAGCTTAATGAGCGAGAGTCATATGTGTTTTTGGACTGACTTATCTAAGCAGATGGGGGCATATGACTACAGTAAAATTGGCTTAGCTGCCTCTTAATTATTATTTTATATATTTATTTTAAGTTATACTGAATTCTATTTAAAAACTTTATTAAATTACTTACTTAATTATAAATTCAATTTCAATGCATAAGAAAAACCAATATCAAAACTCAACACATCTGATCATAGATGGCGCAGTTAACTTACTGCCGATAGGCGGCGCTTAAGTGCAAAAGGCTGTTGAGTTAGCTGCACCTAACGTAATTAATTTCATACAAAAATAGGCTCTTATTGCAGCGAAAAGAACATTTCAGGCAGCTAAGCAAATAATACTGTATATGTTTAATCTATGAATTTTACGATCAACAACTTTATGCAATTCATGCATTGCAAACAAGAGAATAAATGACCATAAAGACACCCTTTAAAGTCAAGGCGTACTCGAGCACATCTGGCACCTAACCGATTAGGCATTAATCCAATTAAAGCCACATCGGGCTCTAGGCTTCGTCTTTGAGAGCATTGAGAGGCCAGAGACAGCTGCTAAATGGTTCAAGCACGTTCGATTTCGATAACTTGTTCGAGTTCATGGAAATCGCATGAGTCGAAATGTCTTGCGAAATGTCTTGAAAATCAACAAATCTGTTGTTGTTGTAAACAAATCATTAAGTCTGTTTTTTCCCTCAAGCAGGGTTATAATTAAAGCGCGGCACGATCTATCCGCAATTTCTCAATAATTGTTAGCTTTTAAGGGGGTTTGTCATACTGCGCTGCTCCTCAATATTAGAGAATTACTTTTGGATTTTTATCAAATATTTATCGCGCATATTTATCAATTTAGAAAAAATATTGTGTCGCAAAGCATTTAGCACTTGGCAATTGGCGCCTCACGTTGACGTCAAAAGCTAGTTTGTTTTTTGTTTTTTTTTTTTCTGACATTTTCTCGCCGTCCCTGAAGATCCGAAAAGGTCTCCTCCCATCGCATCATCAATGCTCTGCAATTAGTCAGAGCCAAACGACTTTTGCGCTGGCCAAATGATCTGTTGAATGCGCTGATAAATTGGCTTTTTGCTCAGCTCTTAATTATGACAAAATCAAAAAAAAATTTGTGTTTTGCGGCGTAGAAATTATTGAATTGGAAGCGCAGTAGGCGGGCTTTGGAATTTGTAAAAGGGATCCGAGCAGCCTGCTTTTTTTTCGGCTGACATTAGCTCGTTTAGTTTATCAATTCAGTTTTATAGTTAGCTCCATAGAGCACACATCTCGAAAAAGTTTTATTTTTCTATTTCTTGTGTAATTTTTTGTTTGTGTGTCTATCTAAAGCACGTTTAGTCTCTCTTGAAAGTCAGTGTCAAAATTCAACGTATTTAAGCACACAGCGTAATTCTATCGCGCGCCCCCCCCCCCCCCCCCCTTTCCGTCTATATATACCGACACGCACACCCTCATCCACACACCTCACACCTCACACCTCACATAGACATCAAATATGAGCAGCACAAAGAAGTTTGGTCTGAGCAGCAGCGCCCAGAATGCCTTCAGCTCGATGCGAAATTTCTATCAAAATCACGCCGTTGCAAGTGCAGCAAGTAATCTCATGCAGCTGCAAATGCAGCAGCAGCACCATCAAATGCAGCAGCAGCAGCATCAGCAGCAGAAGCAGCAGCAGCATCAGCAGGCCAAGGCTACGAAAGGTGCGCGCTTAGGTAACTGGAAGGTGGAGCGCACCGGTACGCAACGAGTGTCGAATGTGGGTCGCCTGAGCAAAGTGATTGGCGTTAAGAAGACTCTGGTCAACCAGATGCAGGGCATGGTCCAGACGCTGCGACCAAAAGTCAGAACGCAAGCGCTGATGGCGCATGACTTGGCGCAGACCAGCTCCAAGTATAAAATATACGGCCAGACAAAGCTGTTCTCCTCGATGAGCAGCCTGCAGGCGCGCAGCAGCTGCAGCAGCAACAGCGCCATCTTCAGCCCCGTCTCGCAGAAGCGGCGCCTGTCCAGCAGCAGCCACCAGTCGCTGCCGCTGACGCTGGCCCACAGCTCCGTTGCGCAGCAGCGCTACAATCAGTCGGGCGATTTGCAGGATAAGCGCAACGGGGATCTGGCCAGAGACATAAGTCGTTCTATACAGTCCGAGCTGATGCAGGTCGATCCGAACACCAAGCGGCTGATTAGCTGCGCCCGTGGCAAAGCGGACCTGGCCAGCTACGACGACGAAGATGAGGAGCAGCAGCTGCAACAGCAACTGCATCAGCAGCTGCAACAGCAGCAATACCATCAGCCGTTGAATTACGATCCGCTCGCGGGCTGGAATCACCCACCACGTCAATCGAAACATAACGAGACGAGAGCCGACGAGGACAACAACCTCGCCAAGCAACGCAAGCCTCTGCGTCGCAAGCCGACCAACATTCGCTACAAGGACGACAGCGGTGAGCAGCCAGTCAAACAGCAGTTTGTCCAGCCCAGTCTGCACAGCCGTAAGCTGCAGGCCCAGCTGGGCGAGCTGTACTCGAGCTCCGCCAAGCTGCGCTCCGAGAAGCAACGCAGCGACCTGCGCAAGCAGCAGAACTTTCAGAGTTCGCTCTCCTCTGAGATGCTGGCGACGCCATCCAATTGGGATCGGGATGCGTCGGCGGCGCAGGATGAACGCTACAAGCAGAAGTCAACCGAGCGCGAATATATCGAGCGCAACATCCTGAAAATTGAACAGGATGAGGCGGAGGCAGCCGGAACGGCCGATGGCGCCGGCAGTCGCATGGACGACCTGCATTATCAGTCGAAAATGGCCGCCAATTTGATGAGCGCCTCGCAGCGCGTCATCAACAAACAGTACGAGGGCTATCGCAACTATCTGCTGGATGCGCGCAACAAGTCCGTGCAGCTTTCGCTGACCAAGAATATCGTTCAGTCGGTGAGTCCAACACCGCTGGCCAAAGTGCCCAACAAGCCGCCAGCGCCCAAAACCCGTCTCATGTCGATGAGTCGCCCCAACTCGTCCAAGTCGAAGCAGACGGCGGCTAGCCCAAAGCCAAAGGGCGGGCCGATTGCCGTGCAGTCGAAACGAGTTGCACCCAAAATGATGCCAAAGAAGAACCTGTTCGGCACGGGACAATTGAAATTGGACATGGCCAACAAATTGGAGAAAGCGATGCGCTCCAAATCCAGCAGTCCCTCCTGGAGCAGCAGCAGCAATATACAGCAGCAACAGCAACAGCAAAAGCAGCAGAAGCAGCAGAAGCAGCAGAAGCAGCAAAATAAGCAAAGGCAGCAGCAAAGGCATCAGAGGCAGCACTCTGGAAATCCCAACCAGCAGCTGCGCCAGATGTCCCAGGCACCGCATGGATCCCAAATGCGTTTGGGTGAGATGCGCGAATCCCAAAAGCCAGATGAAGATTATACCCGCGAAAGAATGCAAAATGACGTCCTGATGCCAAACGAATATACCAAGGAGTCGGCGGTGCAGCGTTTGGGCAATGTGTTCGAAAAGCGAACCAGCCACGCCCACTACGCACAGCAGCGCGCACGCCAATAACTAAGCCCCTGAGCTAAGGGGTGACGTCGACGTCGTCGACGACGACGACGACGACGACGACGACGATGACGACGACGATTCGTTGCAAGCTCCTTAATTTGTCGGTTTTTTTTAACGTCAACTGAGCGCAAGCCCCAATTCGTATGGGAATCATCTTCAAACAGCCGTGCAGTTCGATAGAGCTCCAAATTAAATATCACAAAATTCTTCTCCAGTTTAAAGACTATTCACACAAACGTTTACTGTCCCAAATTTTATCCCGGTTTATGTAGAATCAAATAAATAAATCTAGGCGAACACAAAATAAACAGTTGTGCGAAATTTACGTAGAATTAAAAGTCGTGTGCCAAATCTCATTTGTTTCATTCATCCCATATTTAATTATCATACTCAAATCTCGCTTTTTCGGTGCATTGTAAAATACACATACATGATGTACATCATTTCATCTGTACTTTGATTTCGAAGCTCAATGCGTGCATTTTTATTTGTAGTTTATTATGTTGAAACCAAACCACAAAGACCACAATCCACGTATCTAGCATTCTACAAAAGATATATATATATATCTATATATATATATTTATATATTGTAAACTTGATTCCAATCAACGAACCACTGACAAACAGTTTCTTAGTTACTCTGCACCAGAATTTTAAAGTTTGCTACACCAAATCCAATAATTATCAAAAAAAAAAAAACAAGAAACTTTGCTAAAATGTCTTAATTTGAGTACTCGGCCCAGTTCCAGCCTTTCCTCAATGGAGATGGCGAATAGAGAATTGGGCTGTTAGTGTCTAATTTTTCTTTATATGTACTTTTTTCATTTAATTTATTTCGTTTATCTTCTAATAATGGTAAACTAAACTAATATGCTAATCTCTGATTCATTCGATCGTTCTTCAGGTGCTGTCTATGAGCACAGATGAATATCGCAAGACCTCGCTCTTTGCAACCGGTTCCTTCGACCTGGACTTCCCCATACCAGATCTAATTGGCAAAACAGAGATACTCACAGAAGAGCATCGGTAAGTGTGCAACTATAAAATATAAATGAAAATAGAAATCATAACGTGTATTTGATCACATTTCTAGTGAAAAACTATGCGCACATTTGCCGGCGCGCGCCGAGGGCTATTCCTGGTCCCTAATCTTTAGCACATCGCAACATGGTTTCGCCCTCAACTCGCTGTATCGCAAGATGGCGCGACTGGAGAGTCCAGTTTTGATTGTTATAGAGGACACAGAGCACAATGTGAGTGGAGAACAATGAGAATCGTATAAATATTCCCATGTATAATATATTTACTTGGACTTTTAGGTATTTGGTGCCCTGACCTCTTGCTCGCTGCATGTGTCTGATCATTTCTATGGCACCGGCGAATCCCTGCTCTACAAATTTAATCCCAGCTTCAAGGTATTCCATTGGACTGGCGAGAATATGTACTTCATAAAGGGCAACATGGAGAGCCTTTCAATTGGCGCTGGCGAGTAAGTACACATTTACCTTATATTATTCGGAAACAAAGAGATTATCATAATTTTTGCAATCTTCTCTCTACTCTAGCGGTCGCTTTGGCCTGTGGCTGGACGGAGATCTGAATCAGGGCCGATCGCAGCATTGCAGCACATATGGCAACGAGCCATTGGCACCACAAGAAGACTTTGTTATCAAAACACTCGAATGCTGGGCATTTGTTTAAGTGGATTTGTGTTGAGAACGCGTTCTCGATGAAGAGCGAAGCCTACCTATTTAATTAATTGATAATATAATATATATATATATATCTATCTATATGTATGTGTACTACAACTAAAACCAACAACAATAACAAACAACCTGAGAATGATATCAAAATCTAACGCGTGTCTAAACAAATAATAAATATAAACAAAAACAAAAACAAAAACAAAAACAAAAAACATATAATCACACAGAAACACAAAGACGAGAATAATTGAGAGCCTAACCTTAACTTCGGATGCAATTGAAAGCTTCTAAAAAATGTCTGTGAGCAAGAAGAAAATTGCTATATGCGTTAAAACGTATTAATTATTTAGTTTTTATATTATATATTATTAAACAAGAGGTAACTAAATTATGTAGTAGATTTAACAAGTGAGAAATCGGCAAAACAAAACAAAACAAAACACAATACGAAAACAACAAAAACTAAAACACAACAATTGAAAATTACATTTAAGGCACACGACGCCTCTCGCAAAATAAACAACACACACACATAGAAACATTTGGACATAAGCATCGCCTACATACATACATACATACATACATACATATATACACTAACTCACACATACGCATCTAAGCTTAAGTTTTATTATCAAAAATGTAATGATGATGATGATGAAACCAAAATACAACACAAAACCAACAAGTTATGATTTAGATTCGATTGATTATTTTTGTTTTGTATTTTGTTTGATCGAATTATTTAATTAATTTTGATTCGTGCCTTTGCTTTTTTCTCTAGAAACATGTGCAGTTAGAAAAGGAAAGAAAAGAAAAGAAATGTCGATATAATTTTAGTGCAAGGGCGCTGACACGCCTCCACTTTTTGCAAGTGAAACGAAAATATCTTTTAAAGATTTTACTTTTTATGAGAGACCGAAAGAATAGCAGAGAGAGACAGAAGGAGAGAGCGAGAGAGAGAGAGAGAGAGAGAGAGAGAGAGAGAAATATAAAGAAGGCGATTATTTTCTTTAGTTTTACAACAACTATATATATTTAATTATGCTAATGATGTTGATTTAAATGCAATTATACTAAAAGGAAACAACACAAGATTGAAATACACAATATATATTACAACAATTACAAATGCAGAATTTTACTTGGTGAACAAATGAGAAGTAAATTCGAGTCGAGATTTTTTGATTCTAAAATTGACACTCTTAAAGGCAATTAAGGCATAAAGAGCTATTGGCTTTTAGTCTAATTATAAACTAACAAATCGTGCATAAAGATTCAACTTACCCGATTGCAAAAGGTCTGCTTGAAGCTAAAGTCCAATAATGGATTTTCCTTAAAATCCAAAAGTGCAGCCAACTTTTTTGAAATGCATGGCGACGAAAAGGTTCTTCCAGAAGATACATATTAATTTTTTGATCAGAGTTTTAGCTATATATGTTGGACACATGTTTGAACACGACCAGAAACACAAATTTCCACATCGCCAGCCCCCCGTTAACATAATAGCGGAGCTGTGGATGCAATGGTTTTGAAAACTTAAATGGCTTTATATCCCTTTTGAGATACTATTGAGTATAACTACAAATATACATATATACATATACACATAATGATGTACTACAAACATAAACACGATGTCTGGATGTACATGAATGTAAGAAGTAATTAAGTGTCATTTTTGTAGTGTATTTGTGCAGCCCTCGCGACCTCTTGTTATGTATGTACGTATTATAAGTGTTGTAATATCTCCCTCCCTAGAAACGTGCAACATATAAAATCAATTCTAAATATCTGAGCTACAACAACATATTTGAGAGAGCAAATTGCTGATATTTTACACTGAACACAGTTCGAAAAACCAATCTAAATTTTACATTACTTTTCAATTGAAAATGTTTGCTGGATGTGAAATATTTAAACCAAATACTAGGCCCTAAAATAATAATAATAATCGCATGCAACAATTTAGAGAAACTTAGCTGAAACTTTTTTGCACCCCAAATGGCCCACAAAAAAACAAAAAAAAAACTTAACTAACAAACTATACGCAAGGTACATTGAACTTAACTGTACTTATATATATGAACGTATATGATATACTATATTCAACAAAATTGTGGTCGCTAATCGCAAAATGTTATTTTAGATGTTATTTAAAAACGTTGATAAACAATTTTTGTGTAGCTGTGTATAAGATACATACAATATATATGCATACCTTTCCGTATATGATTATTATTGTATACATATGAGCCTATATATTCCTTAAAAATCGCATGAGTTCTGTGAGCTTTAAACACACAAAGGAAATCAATGAATATTGAATTAATCAAATTGAACTTAGATTTGTATTGTGAAATCGGAAGACTTTTACGAAACCCCTCAAGATGTTGGCTTGTTTACAGAGCATCAATGATCCAAAAGAAAAAGAGAAAAAACCAAGCTATGCGCAAAATACATACATACATCAAATCTTGAGACCAAAATGCGTTTATTTAAAATGTAAAACCAAACAAATAAAATATATATAATATGGATCATAAAAGGTACACAAATTTGAACGTGGATCGATTATCAGCTAATTTGTGCGTCAATTATGCCCTACACACACACACACACACACACGAACACACACACACATAAGGATGCATAAAAATTGTAATATTGTTATTATTAATTTCGTAGTCCTATGGATGCATATGTATGTAACTTTGTTGTGCGATCAAACAATGCGAAAAACAAAACATTTTTGAATTGTAACTTCTGTCAATTAACTTGTAGACTGTAGATTGCAACAAACAAGCGCACATTTCGTTGTTGCTAAATTACTAACAATATATCAATATATATAGTATATGTATGTGAGGCCCCATTTTATTATTGTTTTATAAGAGATCAACCCAACTATGTACATATATACATACATATATATATCAAGTAAATCCAAAGGGCCAGTTAAATAGAGCTACTCCTGCGACTTTATCTCGCTTGCCGGTATTTTATTTAGCTATGTGTCGGTGTCTGCTTTGAACTAGTTGTTGTGAAAATACCAGAAAACAGTGTTGAGTAGTTGCGAAAATTTGTAGATGTGCACCAAACATAACGTAAATTAAACCATCCGCACAAAAAGTTAAAAAGTTAAAGTTATTCAAGCGCGTAATCATTATCAATTATATTTAATATTTTGAGAGCAGAATGTGTCGCATTTCGGGCTTAACTCTCCACCATTGATTCAAAATACATTTTATATTCGCCAAATATGCTTAAAAGTAAAGAACAAAACAGAGCCTCTTCTGTTTTTGTAGGTCTTGAAGGGAAGTTAGCTGCTTAAAATGCCTAGCATTAGGCTGATGCTTATGAAAATATCGTCGTTCAGAGTATGGCTCCTTTCAAATTTCAGAAACCAAGTAAAATACAAAACTTTTCTAAGCACAGCCATACCAAATTGATCAAATTGCAATTGTCTAGTATAACAGTATAACAGAAATGTAAACTAACAGTATATAGCGATACATACTCTGTATGTAGAGTGACAGTGATAGAGAGCCCAACAGATCGAGTGGGCGCAGTGAGATTATAAGGAATAAAAAGTTCAAGCAGAAAATTTTATTTTTCCACCGAAAAATTGCAGGTAATGGAAATAGAGACAGCAACTTGTTAATATAGTTACCCATATACATACATACAAACACGTGTATGTTCATGCACATAAACATAGATATGGCAATTAGATCGCTCGTGTACATACATATATGATGCATTTACATATGCATAAATATTTTTGGAAAATGGAAATAGACATTGAAATATGTACATAGGTGCAGCAATGTTAACAATTGGTAGGCGGGTAACGACATATCTCCGCGCACATATAATTCCGCCAGCAAATCGTACTGGGCGGAGATATGTCGGCGGAGCTATGTCGATATGCCTTGGTAGGAACTAAACAGTTTCGAAGCAAAATGAAAATGGATATTGTAAATGTTAAAAGCAATGTTCAATTTAAATTCGCTTGGTTGTTCGTTCGTCAAACACATAGATATTTCAGTTCGCATTAGTTGAAGTTTTTAATATTATATAATTATAGTTAAAGCGAAATTTAAATCACGTGTGCTATAATTTGTATCGCATCAGCGCAGAGTGGAGAATGTGGCCACAGGAACACCAATTGCAACACACGTATTAAAACATATAACATATGAATAAATATATATATATACTATATGTAAATGTAAAGTCATTACAAAGATGAACAACTTTTCTGAAAAATAAAGTGTATATTCAAATATTAAATAACGCATTTTTAACTATACTCACATATTCTCCATCACCTTACTTACCATTTTTAGGATTTTTGCATTGTGGTGTTCCATTCAAAGCTTTATAAAAACTAAAAATTGTCATTGAATCGATTGGCGTCAAATATTTCTGATTCCAGGAGCAACCGAATTTTTCCAAATTTCGACAGGATTTTTGAATGCTGATCGAAAGTACGAGTCGAATGTGGTATATCATTTCAAATTCAGATGATAAATAACGAAGATATTCAAGTTTGAAGATTTTCAAACAGTTTCAATCGCAAATGCTAGAAATGTGAGCAACAGGTGGCGCTGCAGCAATTTCAAACATATTTAAAGAAGTGCACACTTTTGTGCGCAACGATTTATAACATTTCGTAAATTTTGTCATTTAATACAAAAAATAGATATATGCATTTATGTACATGATTAATATTTTTGTGCTTTCTATGAGGCTTTTATAACGAGATTTATAATTGTTTTTGTTGTCGCTTGCCCTTAATAAATCTCGATCTTTGTGCGTGAGAGTCGACGAATTGAGTGGCAATGCGAGACAACCAAAAAAGTTAGTTTTTTTGTTTACAAAATTTTGAGATGGGAAATCACTGTTAATGTCGCTTCACCTAAAGCTACATTAAAGCTTTAATACTTTGGCAAACTACGCAAACTCTGATAGTTTTTACAACGCGTATATGCAAATAATAAGATACAATATAAAAAACAATCAACATGACGCTGATAAGGCAGTTACCTAAAGGTTATTGCGAAAAGAACTAAACATACGACTTAGTTACTACAACTATAGTTTTAAATGACTAAAGGAGCTTTGATTCACATTTTTATAGGTTAGATTCATACAGTCTTGAGGCAAAGCCAAACAAATGACATTATGCCAGACTGCACTTCATGTATCCGATAAGATTACGTACTTAAGAACTATATATAAATAGCTTTTACCTAGCTTTATACAATGTGTTTGTTGATTGATATAATGTACAGTTTTAAGTTGCCCACTATCGGTTTGCCATTAGTCAGAACACATGGTCTACATATATATATACACAGTTTAAGCGACAATGGGCTACGTGCAAATCTCGTTACTGGGTGGGCAGGAGCTGCTCGCCACATTTGCGTTCAGCGCTCCTGTGCCCGTAGTCATGCTGGCGGGTGTAAATGATTTGTTCGTGGATGCTGATGCTGATGCGGGTGCGGAGCTGCAGCTGGATGCAGCTGCTGCTACTGTTGGGGACGCGGGAGTAGTTGTTGAATCGGGTTCCGCCAGCTGCGCAATAGAGTTGGCATTGTTTGTCTTGCTGTTCTCTAACTTGGCACGATTTAGCGCCTCTTCACGCTCTTTTGCATCAAAGTACCAGACGGTGATGGCATAGCGGGTACGATGCGCGGGCTGCACTTCATGCGGATTTCGTATATCCGACCAGAAGAATATCAGACGATCAAACTTGGGTTCAATATCGGCCACAGTTGTACCCGGCGTAGGCCGGATTCTATTGACAAAAATACAACTATAAAAAAAACAAATCTTTTGTAAACCAAAGCTTTATTAACTTACCGCAATATGCCGCCGCTTTCGCTGGCATTCCAATTGATATTTAGGTAGTATATGGCTGTAATGACGCGTCCATCCTTGTTGGGATTGTCCACATGCATAATATAGTGCGTTCCAGAGCCTGGATAACAAGCGACCATAGCCTGTAAAAAACAATAGCTTAAATAAAATGTTTACATATTTTCACTTGAATTGTGCTTACTCTCGTGCGTTCCCTGATATGGTAATTGCCCAGGATACCATTATCCTTCATTGTATTCACACGATACACCACAGAGTCAATCTATAAATGAGACAGACAGTCAGTCAGCTGGATGTTGGAATGTTAGACCATTCGAAAGCTCACCTGATTGGTCAGATACCACACATTGGTGCAGCCGGGCTCATTACCGCCGACCCATTTGATTTTATCACCCCGAATCTTATCACCGCGCACCTTTGAGGATTGCGCATCAGTTCTCATATTATGCACCAACTGACCATCCTGAAAGGCGCCCGCATTGTACATGCTGCGCACCTCGTTCAGGATCTTAAGACCCTTATCCGTGCCCAGGAAGTCATCTACCACAGAAAGTCCGTACTGATTCATGTCGTTGATAATATTGCGACAAAGATCTTCATATCGGCGTTCGCTGTGGAGACAAAAACAAACAAACAGCGAAATAGTTAGTTAATATAATCCCTTGTTAGTCTCATCTAATCTCATCTGTGATTATAATCTACTCCCTTGGAGCTCTTGGGTCACGGTCACCTTGGCATATTAGCCCGGGAGTAGCCGCCGTTTGAACCAATCGAAATGCAAATATTTAACTATATTTAGTATTTTGTTTAGTTTAATTAATATGATTTTGCATGTTTTATATCTTTTTTATGATTTCCAACCCATAAATTGGTTGCTATATTTATTAGACATCTTTCAGTCACGTAGTCCAAAAACTCACAGCGGACACAGCTACACAAAGAAAAGAGAATTCGAGGCAAGAGGTGAAGACTCGCTAAAGTCTGGATAAGCAAAGCAAATAACACTTTTCGTATAAATTCGAAAACCGCAATAAATTTAATCTTTAAGTTAATATGCAAAAATAAAATAAATAAGAAAGTTACTTCAACAAATATAGGATTTGAAAGTTTGTGAGAAATCCCGTTCGACTTTAAAGTTGGGAAGGAGACTGCTAAAATGTCGCAAATTATATATCGCAACATTAAAACGGCGATAAACCGGTTTCTATATCGACCACAACAATGCTAATTATAAAAAAATTGTATGCTTAACAGTTGTCAATTTGAATTACCGTTTATCCAAAAGTTCGCGAAAATATTGTTCAGCATTAGCAGGATGCGCCGAATGCTTGAAGAAATTTTTATAATCCGCAGTCGTGGAGGTGATCATTTTGCGTTATTTTATTTATCGGCTTTTATTAAATAATTGTAATTCCTTTGTTCTACACTTTGTACTTGTGTAAATGCTCTGTTCTTTAACTGACCCACAGGCCTTAAAATCGGAAACGACTCCGGAAACAATTCACGCACAACTGATGAAAGTTTTAAATTGCCTGCCGGTTTTTATATACCCAATTGAGAGCAGGTGGGAAGCAATAGTCAGAGAGAGAGAGAGAGAGAGAGAGAGAACACCGGCTATTGTATCGAAATAGTGTTGGTAAGCACAGTCCGGATAATACACGCATACATGTATGCCACATGCATGAAGAACCAGCTGTAGTTAATTGTTTTTCAATTGTTATAGTTCTTTTGGGCAAGTCTGTTTGTTTTCATTTAATTTTTCTCACTCGTCACAACTTTTATTTATATGCGGCAAGGAACGAACCGCTCGCGTCGACCGCACGCTCATTACTGAGGTGACGGAAACAGCAGCAGCAGTGAACTACCGACCGACTCGACCGCACCGTGGGAGATTATATTGCACATGTATTTGTAACGCATACTTTTTCTCTGTGAGTTGCGTTAGTGGCATAAGCAGCAGAAATTTTTGTTAAAGCGCTATCTTTGCGTATTTACATATATATATATATGTATAAATATTTATGTTTATAGCTGCAAATAATTGAAAATGCTAACAGCTGGCAACTTTGGCTTTATCAAACTTCATTGGTTACGACCGATTTCCGCGTGCCCTTCAACTTGCCTGCAACCGTCCCAAGCACAAACGAATGCAAACACAGAAGGCAAACGCGAAGCACTCACACAATAAACGAGCTAGCGCTCACGTAGCCCATCGTACAGTACAAAAACAAAGGCACATGCATGAAAATCAAAACGGCCGACTGAAAGAGAAGACGCCACAAGAGAGAGAGGCATGGTCAAAGGCGATTGAATTTGTTTGACAAAGCGAATGTGGGGAAAAAACGAGGAACTAAAGAAACAGCTGTAAATACATGTATGTGCATACATATTTATAGGAGTATGTTTATATCTTTGTAAATATATGTATGTGGATGAAGACCGGCGCGTACTTACAAATTTGGGTCAACGGCCCAGTTCAAAGTCGCCCGTTTAAATCATTTTTAAAAGGGATCCCAGCAGCAACACATACATACATACATATGTATGTACGTACAACGTTTATGTATGCGCAATGATCGATTGTAGCCCTTAAAAATGTTACGTGCGAAGTCAGAAAACATGGCACGTGCACCACGCGACAGAGATGTCCCACATAGTATTTCTTCACAGTCACAATTAACATTGGTAACGAAAACAAAGACTGGTATAATAAAATAATATGGAATTTGTACAAAATATATATATGTATAATATTTTTGCGGGTGCCTCATAAAACATAATTCATAGAATAATGCCTCTCTAGAGAGTAAAGTGCAGGACCATAAATTCATACACAATGTGCAAAAGCGTGCGAGTCACAGCGATTCCACTGCTCAGCACTGGTTTGTGGTCGATGCTGTCGAAGGCGCCGAACACGCACTCATGGCGACCTTGTGACGTGCGCGGCCAGACGTAGTTCAAACTTCATACATATGTACATGTATGTACGTAAATATGTATGTAAAATTGTCGTTTTGTTTGCTGCTGGGCAGATTGTGGAGCTGAAAACTGTATCACCTGCAATGCACGCAGCAGAAGACAGCTGTAAAATTGCTGTAATATGTAATGGCAGCAATTGATTCTGTTGATTTTTATCGTTTAATTATTTCTGATTTAAAATAGCATTGGGCAAATTGTGCTAATTTCTTGCTTACATTTGAAGTAGGGGCTGAAAGTTGCTGGAAAAGTGCCGCGTGTCTGACAAATATGCCACATACATAGATGACATACATATGTTTGCTTAGAAGAAGAAATTAGCGGACTAAGATCATGCGACATGCCATTCCTAATTGTTTGATAAAGAACAACAGACCGGGTCCGATCTCAGGACGCGAAGCAGCACCTACGAAAGATTGAAAACGCAGCAAAGACTTGCCAATCAGATAAGAAGCTAAATAAAAACGTAACGGCTTGCGTACGCACGGCACGTACGCAAAACAATTAACGCAAACAGTTAAGAAGGGCCACCCAAGTGGAAGAAGCACGAAGACCACCCACCAAAGACGATTAGCAAAACAAAACAACAAAAGAAATTCGCAAACTTATCGATGAATCAGCTAGAATGGCACTGAAGTCATCGGCCGGCCATTTGCAAATAGAATTTTTGCCAGTTGTGTGCTGGTGAGTGTGTGTGTGTGTGTGTTCCTATATCTGTTTAAACAGCATGTGAAAAAAAAAGAAAATATATATGTACATACATATGTATGTAGAAAGAATTTGGACCGGGCAACTGCGCAACAGAATAATTACAAAGTAAGCGGGGCCATTCAGAAAATGCGACTGCACTTCGCGAGAGGTGTTAACAAATCAAACAATGTGCTCAGGTGTGTACGTGCACCTATTCAGAATGGGAATCGCGACAGTTCGGCCCGATTCGTCTCAACTCGGCCATGTGCATTACATTACGCTGCACGTAACGGCAATAATAAACAGTAAACATTCCAGACGACGTACGCCATTCTCGCAACTGCACCAAATCTAATCGCAGGGCATATATTTGCTTTTGGCAAAAAAAGAACACCATAAATTAACGGGCCTGCAGTCAGCAGCGCCAAAGATCCGAGCACGTATAGCTTATCGCTAATTAGCGTCTTATGGGTGCATATACATATGTATGTAAGTATCTATGTATGCACGCGTGAATGTAGAACGTACATTCATAAGTACGCATTTTCCGGGGCGTTGGCTTTATCGCGTTATATATAATTTGCTAATAAGAATCTATATGTGGATCTAAGTTAGATTGTTCTCAATTTAATAAATACAAATATTGAAACTTTAACTATATTTAAATCTTTTTATACTTTGAACCCGAAGATGGGTGAAATGAGGTTTTGTGAAATTGCATATAACCGGCAGAAGGATGTATCACCGAAAACAATAAATTATATATTTATTGTTGATCAGGAAGACTTCTTAAACGCTTAAAAACTGAAGGTTTAGAAAATTTGTTGCTGGATTTTCAGACAAATCTTATTGAATGGTTGATTCGAAGAGTAAGTTGGACAGCTTGCTTTGATCAATAACTTTGTGGTCTTTGTAAATGTGTGTAACAAATGTTTGATATGTTTGTTCAAAAATTAGTTTCAAGAACACACGTTTTCAGTATAGTAAAAAAATTTTGCCCAAAGATCGAAGATTCACAGTGACCCGCTGACACTTGGACACTACGAAATTTAGCTAGCAAAAGAACAAATTGAACAAATCTTGAAGTCTTGATTATAATGGTTGAATACACACGTCAACCATGTCCAATACGCATTGTGGAGGATTGCGGCTGCGCCTTTATGATGGGCTGTATCGGGGGCTCCATGTTCCAGTATATGAGGGGATTCAGAAATGCACCAACTGGTATTTTGCGAGGCCTTTACGGCGGCTTAGACTCTGTTAAAATGAAGACGCCGGCAATAGCTGGCAGCTTTGCCGTTTGGGGCGCCACATTCAGCACCGTCGACTGCACCATGGTCTATTACAGGCAGCGAGAGGATTCTTGGAATTCGATCGTAAGTGGCGCTGCTACGGGCGGCATACTTGCTGCTCGCAACGGCGTCAAAGCAATGGGCAATGGTGCCTTGGTCGGAGGATTGGTGCTGGCCATGATCGAGGGTGCCGGCGCTGCGGTAGCCACAATTTATGCGGCCCAGCCATCCAGCACAGATAATGCCCATCCTCAGCGACCGCAATGGGAGCAGGTGACTGTGGCGCCCAACAACAACGAACAGCAAAGCAGCAATGATGCCCTGGCGGAGATTGAGCGTGTGCTGGATAAATGCAATACGTACAAAAGTCCAACAAGAAGGGCGAGACAAAAGCCCAACTACATGGAGACCGAGGACTATATCAAACAGTCGCCATCCCTTCTGGAGCTGGTGAAACTAGCTAACATTTTTAAAACTTAACTAATTTAATAACCTTTTCGGCCATCATATTAGTCATAATTTACTTCAAAATTAAATGCATGTGCACTAGATGTTAACTAAAAAGAACCCAGATTTAATTGTGTAACCGTTGTATTTACTTTTAATACCTTGTTTAAAAAGGAAACAGACAGCAGTAGGCATATTTTGATAGGAACTCATTGTGAACTCACCTGCCGCTGCCCATGAAGCTGGCATCCTCCTGGCCTATCTGATAGCTGGAGCTCTTCTCACCGTTGTGCTGGCTATGATGATGATGATGCCCATGGTGCTGATTGATGTCGGCCTGGGCTGTCTGGGTAGCCAACGTTGGCTGTCCAAAGCAATTGAACAGCTCGTCCAGTTCATTTGGCCAGCTCTGGGCCTGTGCTGCCGGCGTCATCATTTGGGCGGTCGAACAATTGGCGCCACTCACATCCAGCGTTGTGGCAGCCACCGCCTGTTGCAGCTGCTGTATCTTGTTGCTGTTGTTGTTGTTCTGCTTTTGCCGCGCCAGCAGGCGGCAATCATGTCGATGGGTCGGCCAATCTAGATGTTGATGCTGTATGGAGCAATAGTAAATGCTTTTGCATTTGGCGCATCGCAGCAGCTGCTCAACGGTGCCGCATATGGCGCAACGTGCTGGCGACGTCGACAACTGTGGCTTCTGCATGTCCTTGTCGCGTCCCCTGCTTATAGCATATTGGCAACCTTGAACGTCTGGCAACGTAAATTACCGTTTTTCCACTCCCCCGCAATATATAGCCACACTTTGGAATATTGCAAAGACAACAACAAAGCGGCGACAACGGCGCGTGTGGGCCAATTAGTTTTCAGGGCATTTCACCAGACCTCATTTTGCTATTGGACTCTGCCTATACTATACTGTAAGTATTTTAATCACGTAGGCCCAGCCAAAAAATAGCAACAATAAGATGATATGTAGTTTTTGTTGCTGCCAGCTGCGTCTCCCACCACTGCTTTTGCTTTCTTTACAGTTAGTTAACCGTTCACCGTTTTGCACGATATTGCACTTTATTTCGACCGTAACACACACGTTGCATTTACTCGTAGACACCAACTCAGCTTATTTTAGCAAAAATTGCTAAAAAATTGCTTGCAAATGCAAATTAATAAAAATTATGCTATTCACTTTCTCGATGATAAGTGTCGTTCCGAAATGAACTAGTACTATCGATAGCAATAATTCGCTAACAAGAATAATCGAAATAAGGTAAATATGCATCCCTGTGTGCTGGAAAATACGCAATTGTGCGCCATGTCAATTGTAACAGTGCTATCAATGTCTTATAAGATTAATCGATTTCTAAGCACAGCTACCGATATATGTTGGCAAGCCGGTAGTTGTTAGCAGAGCAACTTAACATTTAAAACAAAATCAGTTGCTACATTTTAAATACGTTTTATAAAAAAGATTCAGCATGACAATACCAGATTTAACCGCTAAAGTAGTGTTAGTGGATATTGAGGGCACAACAACCTCAATAAGTTTCGTGCATGAAGTACTTTTTCCGTATGCCAAACAAAATGCCGAGCACTATCTGCTAGAAACATGGGAAACGGATGCGACAAAACAAATTGTAAAAGATTTGCAACTTCTGCCCCAATTCGCAGAATATGCGTCGACTCTGGGTACTCAGACCGCAGTAGACGCACAGCTTATCACTGGATTTGTGCGTTATCTTATCGAGAGAGATTTGAAGGTGACACCGCTAAAAACGCTGCAGGGTTTGATCTGGGCCAAGGGCTATGCTTCCGGCCAGCTAAGGGGACAGTAAGTTGGACCCAAAACTGCTGATTAAACTTGACAATTCTTTGCTCCCCAATTGCAGTGTATACGAGGATGTGGCCACGGCCTTTCATACCTGGCGTGAGGCTGGTCTTCGCATTGCTGTCTACTCGAGCGGCAGTGTGGCTGCCCAAAAGCTGATTTTCCAGCACAGCATAGCTGGCGACTTGCTGCCACATCTCAGTGCACACTTTGACACCAACGTGGGACACAAACAGCAGACGGAGTCGTACACGAAAATTTCCCAAATACTTCAGGTGGAACCGCAGCATGTGCTTTTCCTTACGGATGTGCCGGGCGGTGCGTTTTGTAGTAGCTTTATATTTGAATTATACTCTTATTTTCCGCTGTTCTTACCTTTTTCTCCGCTCACAGAGGCCGCTGCCGCTCGTGCTGCAGGTATGCTCACTATTTTGCTACAACGGCCTGGCAATGTTCCGCTCAGCGAGGAAGAGAGAATCGCTTATCCTGTAGTAGAAGACTTTGTGGCGCTGTACACACTAAAACAGCCTTGAATAAAGCTACGAGTTTTGTCAGAATCAGAGAAAAGTTTCAATGAATTTGTATTTTGTGTTGGGCCACAGACATTAATTAAAAACATTGTCTTGGGTTGAGCTATGGTTTACAGAAAGGCGCGATCGACGCTGCACAAATCATCGCCGCTGTCGTGCGGCTCGGGCGTCTGTTCTACGTGGCGACGACGGGAAGTGGAGCGCTGAGATTGCCGAGAGCTGCACTTGAGTGGAGAGCCATAGATTTTACGTATCTGTTGCAGTTTGGCCTCTGCATCGGTGACGGCTGTGGGGCATCGGCTACTGTTGCACTTTTTCTTGGACTGCTTACTCCGGCGATGTAGACTGCTCTCGCAGGCATGTCGCATGCCTTCACTGCGGCAACTGTGGCTGAGCTTGCCCACCTCTGGGCCCCAAAAGGTGGGGCCCTCTAGCAGCAGTGGCGCGGATTTGACACGCTGTTGCATCATTTGCATGTGCAGCTCGTATTGACGCTCCTGCAGCGCCTGCTCCGCCTTGCGCGTGGCTAGACGTATGGATAGCAGTGCCTTATGAGGTTCGCTGCAATGACCACAACCATTAGGTAACATTGGGAATTATTTGGTATGGTTTATTAAACTCACTTAAGTGAAAGCGATTTCCAGGCGGGCGTTTTTCGGACCTCCCAGTCAAATTGCGGCCTGGGATCGTGATACGTGCAGTTGTTCTGCAGCTCCTTAACCTTTTTGCGTGAAACCTCGGCTCGTAGTGTGGCTGCTAGATTAGGTCGTGCCACCGGATGTTGTGGGGACACACTTGATGTGCGCTTTGTTGACTGCTCTACCTCAAAGATGTTCAGTAACTCAGGCTGCTGCTGCTGGTCCGTCTCCACTGCCGCTACTTTCGCTTTTCGAGCACGTCGCCTGCGCACGCGACTTGAGCCTGAAACGGCACTGCAGCTGCTACGCTTGGAAGATGCCGGCGGGGATTCGATTTGTAGCTTGGGTACCTCTTTAGTCGGAAAATAGTTGCTCAGCGTTAGAAGCTCCATTTTGGGCGTTGGTGTCGCACTGGCACTCAAATCATTAACACTGAAGCATTTTCGCAGCATTTCGCTGCGAACTTTTGCGCGTGCTGCGGTGTGCATAGCTGGTACCTTGACTGATGGCGCAGTTTTGCTGGCTTGCGTGCCACTACTGGTGGATTTGGGCCGCTCGGCATTGCGCTTGAACTCTTTCTCGAACAGCTTAAGAGATCGTTTAAAGTCGGCCACCTCAAGGGCAAATTCCTGTTTGAAATTTGCGATGCGGCTCAAATCACGCACGCACTTTTCATACTCATCGCTGGGGCAGCTAGAGCTGTGCGTGACGTCGGGAGTAGGCATAATGGGATGGTCTGCCAAGATCAGCGGAGGTATGCTGGAAGTCTTCTTTTTTAGTTTCTTGCCTTTGACGTGTCGCTGTTTGGTTATACTGAAGCTGCTGCTGGTGCTGGCGCGGGCTTCCTTTAGTTCTGGCTGTGTAGGCAGAGCGCGCAGCTCTCGGCTGGTGGTGCGTAGACTTTCTAGAGTTGAGTAGAATTCTGCTTTGTGTAGATGTTTCACCTCACAGTAGTCTTCAAAAATATTTCCAATTAGATAATCGTTTGGGCCAAATGTATCATAAGTAACTAATACCTGGTATGCTGTCGTAGAACTTGGCCAGTGTTCTAATGCCCGTCTGATCCGTGCAGGTTAATGCCGCTGCTGCATCCTGCTGCTTGCAGCTCGATGCCGACGCCTTGGTCTTTTTACCCATGCATAGCTTGGGACGATTATAGACGGGTGCCGGACAATTATTGCATGGATCTATAGGCACTTTGACACAGGAATTCAAATATGTTCGGCCCATGTGAGTGCTCATATCTGCTCCAGTGGAAATTGTTAAATGCATTGCGCTTTATCAATATTTTGGATCCATTATGTTTGGGGGTCACTGTTGCCAGCGGTTACCAAGCATTGCTTACGCCTTGTTTTTGAACATATCCGTTTTGGGCAACGTATCCGCACGGTTACGCACCATTTCCTGGTTTCGGGTTCTGTCATTCTCCCACGCTCTTGTACTGATTTAAAGTTATGAAATTGGTAGTAATGACTTTCATATGTTATGATAATATTCCTAAGGAACAAACTGCGAAATTCTTCCATTTTTATTTCAGCTTTGATTTATATAGCATATTCCATATTCTACTAAAGATGTAAGTTTTCGCTCGTTGTCTGTGGTCACCCACATTGAACTATCGCATTGTGACTATCGATTGGTTAGCTGCTGGGAACTGCTACGGATCTGTAAGCACTTTGTTAGCAGGTGTTAATTCCAACATTTGGTTGCTTTTGCTATTTTGCAACAAAGTTCGCTGCTGGCTAGAAAAATATATTTAGTTTAAATTAACACTTGTATTTTTCGCATCAAGCCGAATTCAAATAATGAAATATTCAAAATGCAACAAATCTTCAACTTCAAACTGCAACAGAATCACGTTAGCGCCCGCTGTTATTAGCATTATGAAATGTAAAGTTAATAGATGAGCAACGGCTGCTTGACAGTGCGAGTTCGTCAGTGAACGACGACGGTTATTGCGATTTGTAATATATATATGTGTGTGTGTGTAAAAACTAAACAAAATTTATTGAAAGTGGCGTAAATTGCGACAAAACAAACAGTCTGTTCCATCTGTGTACGTGTGAAATTGCGTAAAATCTAAACGTTTATATTGTCGACAATTACGACACAAAACAAAACAACTTGTCACAATGAAGCTGTTCGCAGCAGCAACAGTTGCGCTCTTTCTGTTGGCCATAATCCAAACGACGCCAGCGGATGCCGAGGAACAGGAGGTGAGTTATGTTTTTGTTTATGATTCACAAATGTTTTGGACAACAGCTTAACGCTTTTTGAGTGTAAATGCGGTTGTAGCAGAAATTACAATTTACAGAAATTGCGTTATTTTCGCTCGCTTTGCTGTTTTTAACAATGCCGACACACACAAACACAACACAAGCAGACACAAACACAGCACACTCACACGGCTACACTAACACATGCATGCTCGCGTACGCCATACTTATTTACTTTTTGATTGTCTCCTCGTCCACACATTAACTTTGATTAGTCAGCAAAAGAAAATCGTAGGCATAAATAAAAGGCTGTAATGGAAAGATACATAACTTTAAGAAAATAATTCTGTTATGCACGTATACATATAGATATACATAAATATCTATATTTATGGTGCTGGCGTTTTAAGCGCTTATCAAATTTGCAATTCTCCCGTTTGTTTTTGTTGTCGGTTCGCCTCGTCTGTTTTCTTTGTTGCGTCGCCATTTCAGCTTAGCAATCAGCTGTTGTATCAGTTTGACCGATAGAATGGGGACCCCATTGATCTATCCTATATTCTTTCTATTTATGAACCAGAAATTGCGTTTTAGTTTGGACTTATTTAATGTTTATTTAGCAATTAGTGCAATTTGAACTGTTTTTGTTGGCTGATCAAATGTCGAATGAAACTTTACTTACATACGGTATATCAAGAACGAGTTATTTCTAATTCCCGTAGGAGAAATGTTTTCAAACAAACATGTTGACTCATTCATATGAATATACTATAAGCGTCTAATTGCATTCCATGCACACATGTCCCCACTCCCCCACTTGGATACAAAAACCTGTTTAATTCGCAATTAAAATGTAAAATTTTAATGAATCAGCAACGGTATATAACTTGTTATTACTATAACAATAGGCAGCATTTCACTTAGTTCACTCTTTCTCCAGCTAAAAAAGAGTAGAGTGAACCAAAAAATCAGATTAATGAATTGCAGGCTGTCTGTGGCAGGAGGCGGGCAAATCAAGAATTTATAGGCTCTCCCTCACACCCCCCAATGGAAAACCGTAGCCCCGCCGGGCATAGTCATCAATTTCAATTAAAATGTTTTCATTTGGCAGAAAAACCAGCTCGTGTATAATACAAAAATCAAGAAGCTCAATAAATGATTTCATTTTACATATGAAACGACTTTTTTTCTGAAGCGCATAATTTTATTATTGTTTTAATTTAAGCCGACTTTCAGTAAGAGTAAATAAATTTGTGTTATGAAATACTTTATATGCAGACCACTAAAGCTTAAATTGAAATATGATATTAAAGAACCAAACCTGTTTAACACGCATATATACCCTAATGTTGTCAACATTATAACTACTAAACGTATACTCTACAAATTTAAATAAATAAAATAGAGAGACAAAGAAACTGTCAACGATTTCCATATGCGAACAAACACAACCGAACAATGCATAAAAATATTTACATAAATGAATAAAATGCGGAACTGTGTGAATAAATGTGTGAATATACACACACACATGGATATACATACATATATTCATATTCATTCAGTCAGAGACAAAACTTGCTCTCAAAATTGCAAACCAAAGCAAAATAAACTTATAGCTGGAGCTCAGCAATGTAGAGGAACCGTCGCCGGAGGCGGCTTTATGGCTTTCGTCCAACTGTTTTTGTCATTTAGGAAATCAGCTGCGAATGATTCAGAAACACAAACGGCATCCGTTTCAGTGAATTCTGAGTTTGCCAACAAATTGTCAGCAATTGTCAAATACGATTCTCTTTGCCCGGCTCTATATGCAAATTGGATTCTCCCTTTCTCTTGAGTAAGAATTATCGAGGCAATTTCGATCCCATTGTGTCATGTCGCCTAATACGGCAAATGACGTTATTGAATCCACTAAACGGCCCCTTACAGCACCCAATATCCCCCCCCCCCCCCCACACACACAGGCACAGCACAAATTATCACCCGGGGGAGTATTGAAGGCAAAGTTTATAATGAGTTTCACATGGAATCCATGGCCGAGCTGTTCAAAGTGTGCCCGCTGTGTGTGATTGGTAAGTTTGGCAAAGGATACCGTCGAAGGCTTAAGTTGCATAGAGTCACCCAGCACCTACCATATCCAAAAATTGTAGAATACGCATACACTTAGAGAAACTGGAGTTTACATTTATAATGCCAGTAAAGAGTAGGAGATGTCATACCCTATTCCTCTTAAAAATTGCCTTGTTAGGTTAAGAAATTTGTACCTTGACTGACCTTGTTTATTTATTAAAAACAAGGTCAGTCAAGGTACAAATTTCGGCCAGATAAATTGATGAAACTTACACTTAGACAATAAACAGAGTAGAACGCTGTCGAATGCGGCTGACTGCAAAATAGTCACTTTTTACTCGCAAGGGCTGTCGGCTAAGAAGCTCTGGTGCAGAGGGCTCAAAGAAAGAGCTTTGGCCAAGGTGAATGTGGTCATTAAACATGCGTCTAAAAATGCGGCAGAAGCGTATGTAAAACACACACGCTTATTCAGCTCCTAGAAGCGACTGACCTTGAGCAAAAGAAAACGTAACCAGCAAGAACAACACCGAAGACTAATTACCCTTGCAGGCATATACATACATAGCTTAGAAGGGTTATTATATACAATTTTTATTTGCCCTTCCTGCTGATCAGGAATATATTCGAAAAGTTGATTGTGTCGCGGGAGATGTTTCGTGACAAAGCCGTAATACCCTCTGTAAGGGTATGTTAAGCTGTTTGCACAATACCCGCTAGCCAGATGCCCCTCCCGAGCGCTGGAACCTATCAACCCGGCTGATGTTGACAGTTTTTGGAAATACCGGTTTTTATGTGACATTTTTTTTGTGTGTGAGCATACATATTTAAAAATATACGTTTGACTTCTGGCCAAGTTTATTTATTTATACGTTGGTAAACTCTTTAATTAAGCCTTAATTAAAATCAACGGTTTTACGGCAAATTGGCAATTTATAAAATTGCAATTTGCGTTGTGAGGCCTTACCATTCGCGCGCTGTCTCATTTTTTATACCCTTGCAGAGGGTATTATAATTTTGTCTCAAAATGTGTTACGCATAGAAGAAGACATCTCCGACCTAATAAAGTATATATATTCTTGATCAGTATCAACAGTCGTGTCAATATAGCCATGTCCGTCTGTCTGTTTCCATGCGAACTAGTCTCTCAGTTTTGAAGCTATCGTCATGAAACTAGGCATACGTCCCTCTGGCTGAATCGGATGACTATATCACATAGCTGCCATAGGAACGATCGGTTGAAAAGTAGGTTCTTGTATGAAAATTTTCTTTGTTAATTAAGATAGCTTGGCCAAATTCGGTAGTTATTTGTTTTACTATGCTTCTTATATATATGCAAAATCTTATCAATATCGGACCACTATATCAAATAGCTGCCATAGGAACGATTGGTCGAAAATTAAGTTGTTCTATGGAAAATTTTTTTGTTTTTCAAGATATTTTCGTCAAACTCGGCATTTTTAAGTTTCACTATGCTCCCTTAATCTATGCAAAATCCTATCAACATCGGACTACTATATCATATAGCTGCCATAGGAACAATCGGTCGAAAATTAAGTTGTTCTATGGTCAACTTTTTTGTTTTTCAAGATATCTTCACCAAATTGCTCCCTAAACTTATGCAAAATCTTGTTTACATCAGACCACTATGATAAATTTTTTTATTTTTCAAGATATCTTAACCGTACTCGGCATTAACTATGTATTTTCCCTGTGCTTCTTAGATACGAGCAAATCATTATGAGTATTATGAAAGGGTTCGGTCTGCAAGGGTATTAAATATTCGGCGTGCCGCAGATAGCGCTTCTTTCTCGTTTATATATTTATTTGTTTTTTACATCAATTCAATTAAAGTTTTTCAACATTGCATCAGCTAATGCCCCAGCGCATCTCTTTTATGCATCAGCCCCAGCCCCCAACGCAGTGCAATATTTATTCATGAAAGCCTGTTAACACCGATGCGCAGCACGTTGCAGCAGCAGAAGCAGCATCAACTGCAGCTGCAACAGCAACTTTGGCATCAACTGTCAGATGCGAAAAGTTTCGACATAAGCCGGGCCAATGTGAACCATGAAAATGCTTGAACAACTATAGCTAGATGAAAAAATACAACTCAGAATCTATTAGAAATTTGTACTGCCGCTATCACACTATAATTCAAATATATTTCGAATTGTTCAGTTTTGATGGGCGTGAACTAATTATCGAAAGTTATAATTCACTCTGATGCGCAAACCAAGTGTACATTTAATATGCTCCAAGGAGTGAAGCTTGGCTGGTTGTGTGTTCCTTGGTTGCGCATTAAGTTGCCAGGACAACCAAACGGGGAAGCCTTCATAACATGGCCAACTGGCAATCTGCAAAAGCCATCAGCGTCTTTCGACGCCCTGTACCCATTGCAATGGCAAAAAAAGGGTATATAGAGAGTATAAGGCCTAGTGTTTCAAGTTATAGTCAACTGCAAATCCATCGAAAAGCATTTTCCAATAAGCATAAGTCGCTAATTAAAAGAGCCACCAAATTCGGTAGTAAGGTTCTTGTAACCATTCAGACATAAGGAATATTTTTATATTATAGTATAGGCATGTTTGGAGACTATAATCAAGCACTGCCGATTTGATATAGATCGAATGTTAATTTAAGCAGAATACAGGATATCTGCTAGTTCAGTTAGCATGCCTTATTTGTGTTCTATGGCAACTTTGGGGTGTTGCTTAAAGTGCCGTAAAGTTTAATTGAAAAACAAGCTGCAAACAAGCTGCAGCAGTAGCAGCAACAAACTACATCAACAATGCCAAGACCGAATCAACTCAACCAACCACCCACACCCACACCCGCACCCACACCCGATGCAGCCCGCAAGTCCCCCGCACACAACATAATCAGCTCAAGCATCAGCCAACCATCAACATAGTTGATGCGGACGCTGACTGCGCTGTCATTGCCGCTGCTGGCGTTGACTGCTGCAGTGACGCAATCGCCGTCAAAAAGTTTTTTTTATGCACTTTTCGGCTTTTTGTCACGCTGCAGACACAAAACGTCAGCCGCAATGAGGATGAACGACCGAAACGTCACCATGCTGTAAGCTATGCAATCTCAGCTCTGCCCTCTAGCTCTCGCTCTCCCTTTCCCTCTGGTTCTATCTTTGTCTGCTGCTCGCTCTTTCTCGGCTGTATTTGTTGTTTTCAGTCTTTATTTTATGCTTTTAATTCGTAAATTATTCAGCACTGACTTCGCCCCTTGCCGTCGCCGTCGCCATCTGTTGTCTATTTGCTGCATTTTGTGGCTCATCATTTATCGATGAATTTTGTTGTTGCAATCCTCAAACTAGTTTTTGGGTGCAATGCGGTGCGGCGGGGTGATGTGCAACCCATTTTGCATCGTCGGTTAATTAGTTTCTGTGACCTGCCGCAAGCTCAGCGAAGCGTTGCTCCTCTGATTGACTTAATTGGCCAAATGTCTCCTCTATCTCTGCACACACTCCACACTCCCTACTCGATTTCTCTCGACCTCCGCCTCTCTGCGTTGCGGCAATGTAATTGCAATTATGCTGAGTTCATTAGGCTGTCCAAAGGGAGGAAACCTGACACACAATTAAAGCTGTTGCCAGTTTTTAAATCGTGTCGTAATTACATATGTATATCTATTGATTTTTAACTGCTCTCCTGATTTCCACCGAATAAAGCTTTAAGCCTATTAACGAAATATCATGTAAGTATGTACATGTGTATTTATGTACATATACATATGTATGTCGGCGCTTAGTGATTGCTATCCATTGTATTCGCAATTTTGCAGCACAGAAACTTCTCAAAACTTCCTTTAGTTTAATTTCACCAATCTAATTAGTCACTCAAAATAGTGTAACTATTGTTCTCTCCGTTACTCTTCTTCAGTCAGCGCTCTACGATCAAACCTCGCTCAGCAGCAGAATCTCTCTCTGTCTATGCTACTATGCTTACACTCAATCGCAAATTCTCGGTACAGACATATGTACATAGCGAGCTATGACGGGCATCTACAGCAACATGCAGTAAACCATCTGCGGCATACATACATATGGATGTACATACATACATATAATGTTAAAAGTACTATTGGTTGTTTCCAGGAAAAATATTTTGCATTAAATTGAATACAGATTTTCTACAACTATACGCGTACGAAACAGTTATCTTGTGTATAAAATTCAGCTTTCTAGCTCTCACGTTTTAGGCTGTGCCTAAATCATCGGCCAGCTAAATTAACGTGATATTAATGCAATTACCATATAATATAGTGGGTTAAGCACTTAATTACATAAATCATTTACCCAAGCTATTAACCGTTTTGATCCATGGTGCTGGCACACACACACGCACACCCACATACACACATTTAGCAATTGCCACTGTAATTGCAATTGCTTTGCTGTATTCATTATAATGCCCATGTTCCAAAATTGATGTTCTCTCTCTCTCTCTCTGTGTGTGTATTCTCCTTAAACAAATTTGTGTTTTGCTTTCTGTTTTTGTCTTTGCACACACACACACACACACAAAAAACACACACACATACACACGCAGACGAGCACGGATGAGGCAGGGATCAGCGAGCCGCCCATCAAATTGGTACATGTACTAAATCCCGGGGAGCGGGAATATCTGTCGCCCAATTTGATTGGCGTGCAGAATATTGCGATGACATTTCTGCCACTCTCGATGAACTTTGTAAATATCATCGATGCCTTTCGCGAAATTGTGAACGGGGTGCGCTACGAGATTCTGCTGAATGCAGTGGACACAAAGGCGAAAGATGCGGACACAATTTGCCGCCTGGTCATACTGGAAAGGCCCTGGATCACCACACAGTGGGGCGACAAGCAGCGCGAGCTGGTCAACACCAATTGCAGCGATGTGGCCGACAATGCCCTGGCCGTCGATACCGAGCAGCGCTCCAAGGTGCTCAACGACAAATACGTGAGTAACAGCATCTTCAATGGCGGGCAGCGAAACGAATTGAGCGACAGTGAAATGGCTCAGTTGGAAGCACAAATTTTAACAACGGACGCGAACAGGCGACGGGTGGGCAGCTCCAGCTCAGCCGCCAGCTCAGCGACCAGCTCAGCGACCAGCACCAGCACAACAGTTATACCCTCACTAGCAGAACCCACTAATGAGCCTAGCACGTCAATTAACGGTAACGAGTCAGCCACTGATGCTGGGGAGGCGGCCACCGTGCCCACAGCGGAGCTCAATGATAATGAGAAGCGCTGGCTGGACGATATCCTATCGGTGGGTGCGTATAATTTTGAGAAGACCATTGAGCAGCAGCGCTCCGAGTTGAAGCAGCAGCAGCAGCAGCAGGTGGGGGAGGAACAGGAGCAGCAGCAGGAGCCGGTGCCGGTGCAGGAGCAGCAGCAGCAGGAGCCGGAGCAGGAGTAGGACACATTATCATTACCATCATGAGATATGAATATTACAATCATATTACACACACACGCACACCCACGCACACACCCCCCACACACACACACACACACTCAGTTCTTGTGTCGCCTATATGCAATATATACGAATACTCGTAAAGTAAATGAATACAATAAAAGGAAAATGTTATTTAATTAAATTTATTTAAGCTTCTCGTTTTTCTCACCTGCCCTGTGTTAACAGACACACACACAAACACACCTGGGCTCTTGAAAGGGGGCGTTGTTGGCATAGTCCAACCAAGCGAAGCGTCTCCCCCTCCTCCTACTCCCCGTCGCACTTATTTCAGCTTAATAATCAAATGAGTTTTCGCTTTCAAATTACGGCCGCAATCTGTTTAACCCGCCCCCTGTCGCATCTGCCCCTCTGCCCCTGCCCCTAACTGTCTATATGTACATATCTTAGGGGGGCCGACCTCAAGTGGCATGTGTGTGTGTGTGTGTGTGCGTGTGCGCCCCTTAGCAGCATACAGTGCTGCGTAAAAGTGTTCTCATTATCCTTGATGCTCTACTTTTAACCCAACACCCAACTCTGTCGCAGAGGGGCTCTGCACAGTGTCCGTGGTAGATGGAAAATCAAATTAAAAATCATAGAGCTAGAGCTAAAAAACAGTATATGCCGAATATTCTATACACTTTGTATACTTAACAGCATTTAAAAAATATATATGATATATATACTAGCAGAAATTATCCGGGTAAATCAAATTAAGTACTCCTAATGCCAGGAAGTCGATGTATCTATGCAAATAAATGAATCCAATAAATCGCATTTCAAATCCCGGACACCAATCCACGAAAAATGGCCCTTTTGTTGAGCTGGTTTGATCTGAAATCAGAGGGATTAGGGAATGCAATCGAATGTCGGGCTCAACTCAACTCAACTGTCAACATATCGAAATGCATTTTACGGGTCATTTGCCCGGTGTCCGTCCCTGAACATAAATTACGTTTTAATTCTTATTTCAATACCGAATATGTAGCCTAGGACTATGTAGAAGGGGGCAGGACATGCCGAGAACAGGCGGCTTTAATGAATTCATGTCGCGGCAGGTCAAACGGAAACAGAAGCCGACGCAGTTGGAGCCCTGCTCGGAGCCAACCCGGCAACCTACCTGGCTACCCTTTTAATTATACACACGTCGTTGCCATTACATTTCATTTCGTATTGTTGTCATTGCATTCTCCAACTCACCTGCAGTGCCCGCTGCTGCTGCTGCTGCTGCTGCTGCTCCTGTTCCCGTGCCCGTTCCCGTTCCCGTCAATAACACGCCCACACCACGCAGTAGGCCCTTGCCTCCCACCCCCCTCCATCCCGCAGCCCAACAATAATCTAGCGATGCCAACAGGCAACGTATTTCCAACCAGAATGTTTGGTTTAATTGGTTTTGCGTTTGCCATTGAATGCCATTTATATGCCACATGTCTCTATGCTCCTCTCCCTTTCTCCCTCTCTCTCTCTCTCTGTCTCTTTGGCTGGCCAAGTGAATTGGGGGTCTCCGAATTGCGGGTTTGGCAACCGTCAGAGCCTGCTGGCTGGCTGTGCCATCAGAGAAGGATTAGTGAAGCAATCGGAGGTTTTTTTTTTGCTTCCGATTTTCTAATACTCAGCAGGCGCAGCTGGAAACGTTGAAGGGGCTCTGCTGCCAGTTGGCTCCAAATTTAAAAACGTTCCTCAGTTAAGCTCAAGCAGCACACTATTCAAATAATACAGAATATTTTTACGTTTGTTACACGTTTTCTAGGTGATTCCTATTCACTGACCTGACCGAGAGCTCCTTTCAAATTTCATAGTATTGGACATATAGACAAATAATATTGTGCGTGTGTTTTGGAACCGATTCTCGATTCCCGTTTCCCGGTTCCCCCCAACCGCGTACAAAGTGGGAAAATAAAAAAAATGAAACCATCTTCGCTAATGTTGCGTCTGCGCAGTATTTGGATCATGTCCAGCTGGCTGCGCCACGAGGCTCTGGCCGCTGCTGCGATGGTGGTTCGTCGTCGAGAACAGAAACTGAAGCGCCTTGAACATGAACAGAAGCTAGAGGCTGAAGTGGGTCAAGTGGGTGTCGACTCCGAGGGTAAGCTGCGTATCGTTCGTGTGATGGACGACTACATTATCCCAGCCGAGTGTGGTTTCTAGCTGAGAGCCAAGTAGCTATCAAAATTTTCGTCAATTATCTATATCCGCATATCCGCGTATATCAACCCGCATCTGGTTATGAGGGGACGTTACGTAGCAAATATTTCTAGGGATATTCTCTTGGTCGGATTATTAATAGCCCAGTTCTCGTGACAGCTAATTATCTCGAAACTTGATATAATTTATTTTGGCAACATTGGCAAATGATGAATGAATCTATGTTTTCCCGAACTACTGTAATTTCCACGACAATAAACTGGAACAGCCGTGGTTGTCCCTTCAAGAGATCTTTCACTGTAGTTTTCCTATGTTGTAGTTATGTAGTTATCCTTAACCTCAGCTTATTTTGCCTTTGCAGCTGTCCCGCAATAGGCGTAGCCTGAACGATGTGCCCGTGGGCGGCCGGAAGCCCTACGATGAGAAACAGGCGGAGGAGCAGCTGCAGCGTACGCTGGACAAGCTCACCGCTGGCGAGGGACCGCACTACAGGTGGGTGACATCAGCTGCGTCTCAAATTTTGTGTTCACATTTTGATACCCTGTTTCTGTCGCACAGAATTGTCAAGGTCTATTCGGCCACGCGTCAGGTTGTCTCGGGCACTTTGACGCGCATCGATGCGGATCTGGTTGACAGCAATGATGCACAGCGGCGCTGCATTGTGGAGATCTGGGCGCAGCCGTGGCTGGAACAGGGCCACGAAGTGACGTTCAAGTGCCACAATCAGCCGGCCGTCCATGCTCGCCACAGCCGCTCCGTGGAGTGGGCCGAGAAGAAGACGCACAAGAAGCACAATCATCACACGCTCAACAAGGTGGACCATCTGTTCCACAAGTTCCAGGTCAAGTACAAGCGTCGCTATGCCAACAGCGCTGAGCATCAGATGCGGCTGCGCATCTTCCGTCAGAGCCTGAAGACCATCCAGGAGCTGAATGCCAATGAGCGAGGCAGCGCCAAGTATGGCATCACCGAGTTTGCGGACATGACCAGCACGGAGTACGCAGAGCGCGCTGGTCTGTGGCAGCGCAGCGAGGACAAGCCGACGGGCGGCGCGGCTGCTGTGGTGCCCGCCTATGCGGGTGAGCTGCCCAAGGAATTTGACTGGCGGCAAAAGAAAGCAGTCACGCATGTCAAGAACCAGGGACAGTGCGGCTCCTGTTGGGCATTCAGTGTGACCGGCAACATTGAGGGTGCGTATGCCATCAAAACTGGCAACTTGCAGGAGTTCTCCGAACAGGAGCTGCTCGACTGCGATTCCACAGATAGCGCCTGCAATGGTGGACTTATGGACAATGCTTACAAGTAAGTTTCAGCAATTTAAATTTCAATTATGCACTCATAATCGAAACCCTTCGAACGCCTTCCGCAGAGCCATCAAGGACATTGGCGGCCTCGAGTACGAGTCCGAGTATCCGTACGAGGCCAAGAAGAAGCAGTGCCATTTCAACAAGACGCTCTCCCATGTGCAAGTGTCTGGCTTTGTCGACCTGCCCAAGGGCAATGAGACTGCCATGCAGGAGTGGCTGCTCACAAACGGACCCATTTCCATCGGTGCGTAGACCCATACAATAATTATTCAATTTAACTCCTATTTTGATTCGCCCAACAGGCATCAATGCCAATGCCATGCAATTCTATCGCGGCGGTGTCTCGCATCCATGGTCGCCGCTCTGCAACAGAAAGAATCTTGACCATGGCGTTTTGATTGTCGGCTACGGCGTTTCCGACTATCCCAACTTCCACAAGACGCTGCCCTATTGGATCGTTAAAAACTCGTGGGGTCCGCGCTGGGGCGAGCAGGGCTACTATCGCGTCTATCGCGGCGACAACACCTGCGGCGTCAGCGAGATGGCCACGTCCGCGTTGCTGGCCTAAACCCACGCACGCCCATCTATACGTCTATATATATAAATATAAATATATGTATCTATGTTAATGTTTGAGCTACAGCACAAATTTCGTTTGGCTTGCAGTTGGCATTTCTGTGTATTTTGTTTCGTTTGGACTTTTCGTTCCAATATAATCATGTCGCAACACTTGTAATCCATTCCCAAAATCATATACAAATCTCTATAGCAGCGCAGCATATATTGAAATAAACTTAAATTACGAATTGTGAAGAAAACACGAAACAGATTTCGGATATATTTCGTACTCATAAAAGACAGACTGAATTAGCAGGTATTTTGATTGACTGATTGATGATTAACGTTCTAATTTTCATACTCGCTTAGCTTTATCAACAGCAGCCGAAGTTTTCGGGCTTCTAGTCCAATGGTAAGCGGCTCGCTGGGCGGCTGCTCCGTGGCCGCATAAATGTTGGCTGGCGTGAACAGGCCATAGGCTTCACACGATTTTAGGAAATTGAGCACCTCCTGCACGGCCGGATACGGCAGTATAATGTTCTGCTTGGCCATGCCGGTCAGAAGGCCAAGCACACAGCGTTTGACATGCAGCCAGGTGTCCGCATAGAGGCGTGCACCCGAGCCGCCCTCGAGGGCGTGGGCGATGCGCGAGAGTCCAAACTCATAGTTGGATTTGGCGCAGTACAGGGTGCCCACCACCAGGTTGACAATGCACAAATGATGATACTGCTTGCCCTGATTACCCTTCAGCTCCTCGGCGTTCTCCACTTTGCGCATCAGCTCCTCGGCCTCTTCGTTCTGAAACGTCATGATGTAGGAGACGCACAAATTGGCCAGCACCGCTGCCGACACGGACATGATCTGAAAAGAGATTCAGATTCACATGAGTATGGCCGAGGCCATATGAGTAAGCGGTGTAGATCTACATCGTCCGAGTGCTGGCGCACGATGGGCTCATAAAAGGCGGCCGCCTCTTTGTACTTGTCCTGCATGAAGAGCACGTGGCCGGCATTTAGGCGCCACACTGAGCAGATGGCGTTCTCGGAGCAGAACTCTGCGCTGGAGCGAAACTCACGCTCGGCGCCCAGGAAGTCATCCTCACGCCAAGAGATCCAGGCACGTGCCATGACCACGGGCAGATAGCTGTGGTGAGGGAAGAAGAACATATACATGCGTATATATATCGCCAATCGGGAAGAAGTCTCGCTTACAGCTCCAGCGCCTGCTCGTAATCCTTGAGCGCATCCCTGAGCGCCTGTTGCTCACTAGTTGCCCTCACCTCCTGCACCCGAGCGGCCAGGCTGCGCAGCTTACCCGACAAGCTGGAGGCGAGCGTGCCCAGCTTCTTTTCAGCCAGCTCGCCGCTGGTCTGAGCCGTAATCAGCGCATCCAGCAGCTCGTACAGATACTGCGATAGATACTTGTATGTGAGGTCTGTGTGCTCGGCCAGAATATCAGCGGCCGTCTCGTAGAGCTCGTGCTTGCAGCAGGTCAGCAGAATGTTAGCGAAAGTCTCCTTGGGGCAGGCAGGTGCGCCCAGCTGCAGCAGGAACGCCAATTTGCGTAGGCCCCCAACAGGTCCTTGGGCATCGGTCAGTGCCATATTGTGCAGCGTAACCGGATCCAGCTCACTTTCCGCGCGTGGCGGCAAATCAAGCAGGGCATCCCGTGCCGCTTCCACATTGCCATCCTGATACTCCAAGGCCGCCTTCAGATTGAGGGCCTGTGTAATTCCGGATAAGGCCATGGTAATGGGATTGCCCACGCTGCGTGCGCTACCATCCGTGTCCACCTGAGCACCAATGCCCAGCTCTGGATGATTGCGCATGCCGCGCTCCACAATCTCCGATGTGTAGTCGAGGGCCTGGGCGCGCTGCTTGCGCTGAAAGTGCGCCAGTGCCACATTGTAGGCCACCAGGGGATTGAAGCCGCCCACCTGGAGCGCCGACTGAAAACGCAGCACCGCCGCCTCGTGCTCATCCGCCTGGTAGAGCAGACAGCCCTCATCGTTGAGCGTATCGGCAGTGCCGCCGGCGCGCTGATTGAGCAGGCTCTGGGCGCCAGCATAATCCTCACTCGAATAGAGTATGGCGCTCTGCAGATGCAGGCATTGCTCACGCAGCTCCGACTCCTTGTCGCCAATCTGCTTCAAGACGCGCAGTGCCTCCGCAAAAATGCCCGCCTGGTAGAGCGACTGCGCATAGTAGAATCTGCCGAGCGTTTGCAGTGACAGCAAATGGGAACGACAATTGTTGTGCACCAGACTCACCTGTACTTGGGCTCCTTGGGCACCAGCTGGCAGAGCTGCTCATAGCAGCTGGCCGCCTCCTCGTACTTCTGGGCATGATAGTAGCAATGGCCCAGCGTGGAGAGACCTGCTCGCGTATTGGCCGCCTCGCCGCAGTTCGCAATGCACTCGATCACGTCCTCATAGCGCTTATCCTTGATCTGGTCAAGGCATGGCTTAAATAGCAGATGATGTGCAATTGGATATGTTGCTTACCAGATTGTAGATGGTTCGCGTGACATGTCCCTCGCGCAGGATTATGCCCTGATGCAGCATTTTGCTGGCTCTGCTTAGTAATGAAAATTTCTAGCTGGGATTTGTTGTGGCGCCGCTTGCCGTAGTCATGGTTACCCTTGCCCGTCTGGCTAGCCTTGGCAACGGCAAACAGTTGGCCAATGTAATGTGAAAAATGTGAATATGCGAAAAATTCAATAAAGAGAGAAACCCATGTACCTGCATCCGTATCAACGTCTAACATAAACTCCACTCACTCATCTGGTTGTAGCAGAACTTTAAGGCGAAAGAAATTCCTTTTAAGTTGTTTTCCGATCATTTAAGACCACTGTGCAATGGCTCAATATGCTAATTAGATTTAGAACAGGGGCCGCTGTGCATGGAAGCCACAGAAAAATGCATCAGTTGCAGACGCGGCACGATTAATGCCAGCCCAGTAGCTGCTCGCAACGCGTCGTGTGCAGAGTATTTCAGCAGCTGGAACAATGGCCATGGACGACTACGAGGATGACAGTTAGTGGTCGCTTTTTGTATGATTAAAAACTGCTTGTTTATCAAGCTTCAAAAACCTCATCCAATTCTAGTGAGCAGCGTGGGCGTTACCACGGCGCGCATCGAGAACCAACAGCAAAGCCACCAGCAGAGCCATCAGCAGGGACAGGGGGGCAGCGGGGGTGCCGTCAAGGTTGGCGGGTGGCGCTACGAGGACGCTAGTCGCTACATTGGCGAATGGAATCAACGCGGACAGAAGCACGGCATCGGCCATCTGCAGTTCGCCGATGGCACCCGCTATGATGGAAAGTTCCAGGAGGGACTAAGCCAGGGACTGGGTTGCCTTTGGTTTCCCGATGGTGCCAAGTGAGTAATTGTCTTGGATTTGGGTTACTTTCCACCTAAGAAGCTATTCTCAAATGACAACACATTGCTTTGTACAGATACGAGGGGGAGTTCCATCAGGGTTGGTTTCACGGGAACGGCATTTTTTGGCGCTCCGATGGCATGAAATACGAGGGTGAGTTTCGTGGCGGTAAAATCTGGGGTCTGGGTCTGCTGACCTTTCAGGACTTTACGCACGGCTTTCCACGCAACGAGGGCTACTTTCAGGACTGCCGGTTCATGAGGCGGCGTCGCTGTCCGGACGTGGTGCAGCGTGCCCAGAAATGTGCGCTAATGGCTCGTGCGCAGAGCGAGCATCCCTACTGAACAGCAGTTCAGTTCCCACCGTCCTAGACAAACATCAAATAAATAGACGCAGCTATATTAACAGTTGTGCGTATTTGCTTTTGTTTGTCAATTGTATCAATATGTTAACAACAATTCGTTTGCCGGCTTGCTAATCCCCGCTGGGCGCGCCTACAAGGTACCAGGCATTGCGTGCCTTGACCGCGGCATTCCGCACCAGGCGCTTGGGGTCGTCCAGAGCATCAGCTAGAACCAGCGTCACATCCACCTTGTGGGGCAGCAGAACATAAGTTGGATACTTGGTTATGTCATATAGCAGCTCAAGGGCTGCAATGCGCACTTGCTATGTTTCGAGAAGAGGAAATTCATATTTAATTAAAGGATAAGCTAGCGCAGGCCCGACGCTTCACTCACCATGTTAAGCTGCGTCTTTTGCTTGGACAGTTCCAGGCAACTGGGCAAAATGTGTCCCAGATGCGCCTGGAAATACGCATCCTGCTGCTGCACAAAGTTCTGGCAAATGCCCAGAGCTATGCAGAGCGAATGGGCATCATTGTGGGCATCCAAGGTCTTGAAGAGCAGCGGACCCAGCTGCTTAATGTTCAGCCTAATCACCGAATGAGGCGTTGCCTTCAGCACATAGATGAATGCCTTCATATGATGTTCGCAGCAGCTGGAAAGCTTCGTGCCCAGTTTGTTCATAATGGTGTGAAAGAATTTTTGCTTGTACAGAAACTTGACCACAGGCAAATCCAACTCTGGATACTCTGCAGCGATAATGTCAAAGGCTAAGGCGGCGGCGCTGCTCAAGGTCGGATGCTCTAGCAGATCCGTGAGCTGACAAATTAAAAATGAAAGCAGACAGTTGTTGTCAATTGTTTAAGCATAGTTGGACTTGTTACTCACATCGCTCACAATGTCGGCCGCCTCCTCGAAGCCAGCAACCACCAGACCCTTGGCTAGCCAGGCCAGCAGATGGACGGCGCGCTCGTCGCCAGCTTTGACGGCGGCTTTTAGCTGATGCGTGATGCGTTTCACTTGTTTGCGGTTTGCTTCATTGTTGTCCATTTTATTGACCAGACTGCAGAGCAAGTGATGCGCAATCTCACGCAGCTGCTCGTTATCCGTGCTTAGCGATAACTTAGTTAGATCGTCCAGCAGCCGCTCGAAATGATCATCCAAACTGATGTCCTTATGCAAATAGCCTAACAGACCTTTGGCCACGTACAGATGGGCTGTCTGGTGTAACTGCAACGTCGGCAGATACTCGCTCACAATGGCACTCTGCTCGGATAGCGGCAGCTGCTGCATAATCCGGCTCAGTGCGGCGGCAATCATCTCCAACGATGGCAGCGGCAATTCGGGCGTCTGGTTCGCCAGCTCGATGAGCTTGTGAAGTAAATTTGACTGCTGCTGCAGCTCGACAATAAAGCGTTGATCCTCCTGATTAAGCAGAGCGCTCAGCGCTTCCAAGGCCAACAGACGACCCGGCTCCGCGACAGTTTCCGTAAACAGCTGCCGCATGACCAGGTCGAGTATGCGTTGCGTGAACGCTATTTGCGGCAGCAGTGGCAGCAAATTCGCATAGATCTTACGTCTGATGAACTCGGAGAATATGGCAAAGTTGCGCATGCAAATGTCTATGAAATTGGACTGCAGCTCGACGGGTTGCAGTGCGCCCAGATTAACGGTCAACATCTTAAAGTCCAGATCAATGTGCGGATGGCTAACCAGCTGTACCAGCGCCTTGTAGATGAGGGCACGCTGCTCCTCGCTCAGCACGGGCACACACTCGCACAACACGGACAAAGCGGCGCGCTGCAGCTCCAAATCCTGTTGTTTGGCATCAAAATCGTCGCGCTCACATAGACGCAGCGCCTGTATGACATCATCCTGCAGTGGCAGCAGTATGGCCTTGTTCAGCTCCAACAGGGAATCTCGCAGTGCGGCCAACTTATAAACCTGCGCGATAATATGATAAAATCTTATGCGCTCCTCGCAACTCGTCCAATTCAGCTCGATGCCTTGCAGTTTAAGCAGAAATGTGTTGAGTATCTTGTCGGCAGCATAGGTCGCATCGCCAGACACACACATCAGGGATATAGCAGTAGCTGGATGAAAGAGACGATGATGCACATCACTCAAATGGGGCAGCACAACGCCAAGCACGGTGCTCTGATAGTTTTGGCTGATGCTGGGCACTTTGGCGGCGCTCTTCAGCAGCTCGGCGAGTGCTTTCAGTGCGCATCTAAGCACATCCGCGTTATCAGATCCTGGAAAGGTTTCAGCCTTTAATGCCTGCCAGATTTGAGCGAAATGCGGTTCCAGTGCGTCTGGTTTAAACTTAAGAGCCGCTTGATGCTGTTAAAGGCAATGGGATATCGGATTAGTAGATTTCACTATAAGGCTAAACTCCAGTGTAGCTTACCAGAAGCTCGATGGAATCTAATTTGGCCACTAAAAGCTCGCTGTCCAGCTTCTCCACGGCCAGCGATACGGTCCACTCGGCAAACTGTTCGCTGGCCACCAGACAGTTGGTCAACTTTTCGGCCAGAGCATCACGTGTTATGGCCTCCGGATCTTGTTTGCTGGGATGGAAATCAATGGGAAAATAGCAGGCGAAGATTTCGAACATCTCCTCGGCCAAATGCAGCAGTGGGTATTGCGATATAAATTCTGGCATGAAACTAAAAATTATGTCCAAATTGCGCGGATCACGTTCCCCATCAATGGAATTAATCAGCCCGTACAAAAAGTCACCCGACATCTTCACAAGCTCTGCAATGCAAACGGGTGAAGGGGTTACCACTTACAAGTCAGCAAAAAGCAAAACTCACCTGGCTGGAAATGCGATGTCAGGAACTTAAACATGTTGAACACCTTGGTGCGATCGCCACGCGTCTGCGACTGGCAGGTGGTGTACTGGAAGAACGCGTGCAGCAGGAGAGGCACACTTTCAGATGGCAGCTGCTTCATGCGCACCAAGGCATTCAGGCCCTCAATTATGGCGGGCATAACATTGTGATGATCGCGTAAACGATCCGTATAGAAGGTCGTCAGAAATTCCAATTGTTTTGAGTTCAACACATCGCCGGGCAGAGCGCTCAGCACAGCCGACAACAGATTTGTGCCGGCCACGCGTTGTTCGGTGTCCGGTGATGTCAATGCAAAGCCCAATTGCTCGGCTAGCTCAGCAATGTTGTAGGTTCCACCGGTAAGTTCTGGTTCGCAGACAAAAAGGCACTATAGAAACCAGCTGATTTGAGTGTTTCGCTTACCATTTGCAATTTGTGTGGCCGCTGCTTGCAGCTTGGATTCGCTTTTCAGAGCCTTCTCGAGTGTTGCTCGCGTGGGCGTTGTCATGCTGGGTCCGGCGCTAACGTAAGCGCTAAATTTAACACACAAATACCTTTCTTAAGCAATCTAAAGCCAAAAATATTATGAGACTCAAATGGTGTGCTCGCTTCTTTTGTTATCTATAGGGGGCCCAGACACGGTCAAGCTGTAGGTCAAACATGTTTAGTAGTTTTAACAATAAGTTAAGTTGGTTGTCTTACATTTTATGTTCACTCTTACAAGCTGCGATTGACTACGTATGCATTCATATAAATTAAGTTTAATTCTGCACGACCCCCGATTTAGTCAGTTGGACCGTATCTCGACCGCTCTTCCAATTAGAGGTGGAACTCAACTGCCGCTTTGTAGCTATCGATCGCTTTATGCAATAATCGATATTGCCACCTTGTTTGAATTGTAAAAACAGAAACAATTTCTTGTTGTTTTTTTTATTTTATTTATCAGATTATTTTTGAAAGTTTACTATATATTTGTCAAAAGTCAGAATTTACAGTGTACAAATCGTTAAATGTTTTCGACAGGTGGCAGCATTAGTTAGGTTGCCACTGTGCTAAATAAAGATCTTGGATTAAATTAGTTCTCCTTGCATTGGCAAGTGCGATATCTAATGAAATATCGGCATGCAGAAAATAATTCGATATTTGAAGACATCACTAGCATTGCGTTAGTATTAAGCAACAACAATCGCCGCAAAAGTCGCAGCACCCGTTTAATTTAGCTAATGCTTTGCTTTTAAATTTAAACAAATACATTTGTTCATACAGTTTAAGCTCGTAACGCCGTGTAACAAAGCCAGTGTACTAATGTCCATAACCGTAAGTAGGCTGGTCAACGAAAACATTGAGACACTGGACGAACTCGTCACTGCTGACGCCCCCACGTAGCGCATACGAGATTAAAATTGTTAAAAATGCAAGTGGAAACGCACACAGAATTACCTGCAGCTAATTATCGTTATTCTATTTAAAAATTGTATTTTATGTGCATTTAAACTGAAGGCAGCAAGCGGCTGTTTGTGTGTGTGTGTGTGTTTGACGAAACTTAAACGCCGCGGAAATTTGAGCTCTGTTTTTCTCTGCTTCTGCTCATTCTTGATGTATGTGTGTGTTTGTATGTGTATGTCCGCGCGCTTGTGTTAGTTTTTTTTTTGCAAAGTTTTAACGTCGCTGACTTGAAAGAATTATTCAAAAGCCTCAGCGACGACGACTCAACAAGGTCAAGCGCCTTATTTGTCAACGGCAAGGTTCATAATTATTTTATTACATTTCGCCAAACGGATTCCGATTCGCTTTGGGCTAACAACTCGGAAATGAGAGCGCGGCGCAGTTGCACGTTCTTGTTTTAAATTTGGTGACAGCAGCAACAGTGGCAACGGGTTCGAACAATTGTGCTTATAATTAGCGCACTTGCCGTCTGTGTCTACATATGTATGTATGTATTTAAGTGCTAGTACTTTTTGTAGTTGTCTTCGGTCGTTGCCATTGCTATCTTCTTTTATTATTTTCGGTTATTTTGAGGCTGAAGCATAGCGCAACCAATACTTTCCATTTTTACCTGCAAGAGTGTGTGTGTGTCCGATTGTCTCCGCCTGTACGTGTGTGCGTGTGTGTGTGTGTGTGAGTGAGTGAGTGACAAAGCCGCTGCGTTGCTTCCGTTCTATTGTCTGAGAGTAAATACAAAGACAGTCGGAGTGAGAGAGTAAGAGAACGATAAGCTTACGCATTTAAGCAGCAGTAAAAACAACAACACTGCTCATGACTTTAATTGGGACTAGTCTTTGTTTCGTTTTTGGTTACAACGACAACAACCTGTTCCGAATTTGAACAGTTACTGCGAGGTGGCAAGCAAAAGACAACCACTTGCGTAGGAATGACCGTAATGGCCAAAACTACAATTGAAGAAATATGCGAGAATGCCAAATTAGCGAGAGACATGGCCCTGACAGGCAACTACGACTCGGCCTGCATATACTACGAGGGATTGCAGGTATGAATAAAGCATAGACAAACATGACAAAAATAAAGTTTCGAGCTGCCGAAGATCAAATACCCTTGCAGGAATGTATTTCAGATGTTTGTCTGTTTATGTTTGTCTATATTTTCTCTGAAGTAGTAGCTAGATTCTGAACAGATTTTGCTTATCTGTTGATATTGGTCAAGAATATATATGCCAAACATATAATAACTTCTGCAAGGGTATATAGAGGGTACTAGAGCAATTGATTGCTAATCCTCTTTATTTTAGGGCATGCTGGCACGCCTGCTTAAGAGCACTGTAGATCCCATGCGCAAGGGCAAATGGAACATGGTGAGTGATTAGTACTGTAGTTCTTTCTTTGAGACTAAGAGTTGCCATGGTTCACATTACAGATCAACCAGCAAATCAATCAGGAGCATGCTAAAGTAAAGGCCATACAACGCACACTGCAGGACATTTCGTTGGATTTGCAAAACACAAAATTTGCCCATAAGCTGCGCTCGCAGCTAAGCGAAGATAGCAATGTGAATAAAGATCCCGCTGCATGGTTTAAGCCCGACCCTGACATATGGACGCCGCCACCGAAAGATCCAGATGTATGGGGCCCGCCCAAACCACCGCCGCCCGTTCAGACGGTGGGTCGGCGCGCAACAGCAACAAATAGCCGCCGTACGACAGCAGCCGGCACGCAGAGCAGCGGCAGACCCAGCACAATCCCACAAATCACTGCCCGTAATGGTCCTGGAACTGCGCGCAATAGTCGCCCGTCGGCCTCCACATCGAACAGTGCACGTGGCGGCATCAACGGCCGCGTGACCGGACGTAAATTGTCCACCTCAAACAGCGCCAGCAACAACAATAACAACGACAACAAAGATGATGAAGCGACAACAGCGGTCATCAATGGCTCCACAGCCGATGGCGATGCGGGCGAGCAGCAGGCAGCCGATGAGGAGCGCAAATTTCAACCCAACAATCACATCGAAGCAGAGCTGGTCGACATATTGGGTAAGAAAAGATCTCCTCAGCTGCTTAGTTAACCCAGCTAACCTATTCTTTTCCATCCTGCCCAGAACGTGATATACTCCAAAAAGATCCCAAGGTGCGCTGGAGCGATATTGCTGATCTGCAGGATGCCAAGCGACTGTTGGAGGAGGCCGTTGTGTTGCCTATGCTGATGCCCGACTACTTCAAGGTGCGTCATCATGTCACCTGCGCTGACTGAATCATCAGCAAGCGTATTTGGTATACCCTGTGGGTAATGAAAACGGAGGGTTTCATGGTTTAGAGCGAATGTATGTAACAGGCATCTCTGACCACATAGACTATTTATATTATTGGTCAGCTACAACAGCCAGTTTAATCTACACGTGTCCGTCCGTCTGCATAAACACATCTAAAGACTAAGACTAAGGAATATTACGTGCCGATAGTAGCTGGATACAGGTCAACTCATAGTCGGGTACTGACTTATTATCATCGCAGAGTGGCATAAAGCCAGCTTTAATCGCTATAAACACTTGATAAAAACAGGGAATTATAGCTGATAAGAAATGTATCTAAATTTTGAGCACTGCATACGTTTATCAATTGTTCCCTAATTCTTTCCATGTGTTATGCAGGGCATACGACGTCCGTGGAAGGGCGTCTTAATGGTTGGCCCGCCTGGCACGGGCAAAACAATGCTGGCCAAAGCGGTGGCCACCGAATGTGGCACCACTTTCTTCAACGTCAGCTCCGCCACTCTGACCTCGAAGTATCGTGGCGAATCTGAGAAAATGGTTCGTCTTCTGTTCGAGATGGCGCGTTTTTATGCGCCCAGCACAATTTTCATAGATGAGATTGATTCTCTGTGCTCGCGACGTGGCTCTGAGTCGGAGCACGAGGCATCGCGACGCGTCAAATCGGAGCTCTTGGTGCAAATGGATGGTGTGGGCGGCGGTGAGGAGCAGGCAAAAGTTGTCATGGTGCTGGCAGCCACCAATTTTCCATGGGATATTGACGAGGCGCTGCGAAGGCGTCTGGAGAAGCGCATCTACATACCACTACCCACGGACGAGGGCCGTGAGGCGTTGCTAAAGATTAATTTGCGCGAGGTGAAGGTTGACGATACCGTCGATCTGAACTATGTGGCCAATCAGCTGGACGGTTACTCCGGCGCAGACATAACCAATGTGTGCAGGTAAGTGAGAGAAGTCGCATCAGGAATGAATGTTAAATTTTATATTGTTTGTTTTTTGTTGCTTTATAGGGAGGCCAGCATGATGTCCATGCGGCGTAAGATAGCCGGTTTGACGCCGGAACAAATCCGACAGCTGGCCACCGAGGAGGTGGATCTGCCCGTGTCGAATAAGGATTTCGACGAAGCCATCAGTCGCTGTAATAAGAGTGTGTCCAGAGCCGATCTGGACAAGTATGAGAAGTGGATGAGGGAATTCGGTTCGTCATGATAGCGTTACTCGCTGATTTCAACAAACTTAGGCATCTATTTATATATATAAATATTTTTTGATAACAACCAATACACACGGATAGTTTTAACAAAAGCTTTTAAAGTGTAAACCGGCCGGACAAATGTTGAACATATTTTATATATAACATTTTGCACATATATGTATATATATGATATATGCATATGTACACGAAGCGTTGGAATTCAAAAGACTAACAGTTCTTAAAGAGGAAATATAAACAAAAAATAACAAAAAAAAAAGAATAACAAGCCTAAGCAAAAGTGAAATTGAAAGCTTAGCCACAAAATATAAAATCACTGATTTCAGACGGACCATCAAATTTGTTTGTTTGGTCCCTGAGGATTATCTAAAGCAATCATACATACATAGAGCATCTGCACGATCCTTCCAATCCTTTCCATTCTAAACTAAGCCTATTATGAACATGCCTCCTAGCCCATGGCTTCATTTAACATTAGCCCCAATTTAATCATACAAATAAGTTGTTTTTTCCATTTTAATTAAAAGTATATTTAACACACACACACTCACGAGTTTTCACTGTCTAATTAATGTAATTAATTTTCGCCTAATTTATATAAAATATAATATATCATAGTGTATAGTTTTTAATAAGAAACATAAACCACAGCCAGAGAATTGTGAAGCTGCAAATGTACTTAAAATGCAATATTGAAACATTTTAAACAATAAACACAAGATTTTTAACTCGAAAAGCGTTCATTTATTGCCAATTTAATTAAAATTCCGTAGTATATCATTTGTTTGTATATAACACGCAATATGTAAACAAAGCACTCGGATGAGTCATTCTCGATGTGATGGCAGCTATGGCAGCGTCTCCGAATTGGGTTTAATTACAACTATATTTAACTCTCAGTAAGGTCTTGGTGGCGGAGGCATCGGCATCATGGGACCCATCATTGGATAGGGCACATTGGCCGCACCGCCCATGTGTGGATTGGGATAGAAGCCGCTGCCAGTGCCAGGCAGGTTGCCATAGGCGGGCATTCCCCCGCCGCCTGCCGTGCTGTGTCGCTGCGGAGCCGACTGTTTGCGTATCAGCTCCTGCATTTTCTCGGCCTTCAGCTTGCGCAGATGCATTGTGCGTCGACTGGTAAGGAACTCATCGAGAAATGCTTCCACGTTGAGCTCGTTGTCGGTAAACTTTTTGACAAACTCTTCTGTTTTCTCCTCGCTCTCGGAGGCGGCTGTCTGCAGCAGAGCTAACGCGGTCTCCTGGCTGACACCTCCAGTTTTCTCCTTGATTTGTGATAGCAACTCCTGGACAGCAGCGCATTTGGTGCGTCCCTCCTCCGTTAGTTCGGCCAACTTGCCGCGCAGCTCGATGATTTTTGGCTCCTTTTCAATGTTCTTTTCGGCTCTGTTGCGATTCTCCTCGAAGAAGCGAACTTTTTGTGTTTTCAACGATTCGAGGACTTCGTCCACCTTTTCGTCCAGTTTGTCATCGTTGTTGAGCAACTCTTTCAGTTGGTCCGAGTTCATCGGAAAGAGTGAAGATTGCAATTGATTTAGATATTCCTGGTACATGATGGTGTTCCCTTTTATTTGGTTGACCAAACTCGGACTTTCAGTTTTTATCTATGTATATATTTAGTTTTTGTTGGGAAATTGTTTTTATACATTCGCAGTCACACAACACTGTATTTAACAGCGAGAATAACACTAACATATGCTGAACTGCTCTATAACAGCGCCAAAATTGATAGTCTGGCAAGGCGAGCCGTTCAGTATTGCCACCCTGTGTTTTATATATCGACTAAGCGTCGCGCGCCAATTTTAATCGAATTTAACTAATACGAGTACAAAGTATTTATTGCAACAATGTCTATTTATGAAAATTACTTAATCAAGAGATTGTATGTTTGATTCGGCGCATATATCTGCAGCGGATTCGCCGCATAAATGGTTACAGGCAAGTTCCACACCATTGTCTCGACTGGCAGCTCGGCGGGCGCCTTGAGCTCGCCGGACGCAGGATTCGGTGTGCCAAAGTCCATCAGGGTGCTTGTGACAAACTCAAAATGCAGACGCCACTTGACATCGACCAGATCTGTGCGAAATGTGGGCGTCACATGCAGAGGAATGGGCACAACCACCTGCGTCTGCAGCGTCGCATAGCAGACCTGAAAGCGTTTCAAATGTAATGAAGGACTAGAGTTAAACAGAGATTCAGTTGATTCACTGACCTGATGGGACGTGGAAATAGTGGTCAGCTTGCCCGTGGGCGTGGGCTCATCCTTGTTACGCGCACTGCCCGAAGTCTCGGATTTGTGCATATTATCCACAGCAATGCCGCTAGCTATGCTAGCCATATCGAAGGAGTTCACCGAGGAAGCATCATCGCCGGCCTGTGACTGAATTGGCTCCGGCTGCGGGCGTATGGGCAGCTCCTGTTGTTGCAGCTTTACAGAGAACTGCACGCAACGCACCTGGCAATTGCCAAAATCCAAGCTGGCCACAATGTCCTCGCCCAGCTTGTACGCGGGCTTGAACAGGCAAAAGCGTCCGACAAAACCGCGCTTGTTCGAAATGCGATAGAACTTGGGAGCACGCCGCGCGGTCACATTCTGCAAACGAATTGTTGTATAGTTGAGGAGTAGGATTTGTTGCTGACCCAGCATACACACCTTCAAGTGATGCCAGGATATTTCCAATTCGCTTATCTCGCGCTTCTCCAGAAACGGATTGGTCGGCGCCAGCTCCTCGTTGGTCTCCACCGTAACCGGCAGCTCGTCCGGGCGCGCTATCAACGGTATGGGCAGCACACGGATCGGCACGGTCAGCGTTTGCACCTTGGACTTCACGCGCTGAGTGGCAATGGTGATTTTGTAAAAGTAGCGAATGTCGTGGCCACGATATGTGGGCGGCCCATCGCGCGGCACAAACTCATTGAAGAAATCTGCAAAATATTTGATTTAAATAGAACACAACCCGTGCTTGGTCAACGTAAGGGAAACCCACACATCTTGGTCTCGCCGGGCAGCAGCTTAAGATCGCAAAACAGAATCTTCGGCTTGGTGGACACAATGACTTCGCCGGGCGTTTGGGTCACGGCATCCAGCGCAGTGCGTCCAATGAGCTCGGCCAGCTCCGCCGTTTTGTCGCCCGCGGGCGTGCTGTAGCTGGTCTTTCTATAGCAGTGCAGCTGCACCGAGGCCCAGGCCAGGTTCTCCACACTGTAGGCACAATTCAAAGTTAACTTAATTTAATTGTAAAACCGAATTGCTTACTTTGCGGCGTTGGCATTTCGATCGGTCGACTTTTGCTGCTCCTCGGCGAACAGCTTGTGCGTGAATTCAATTAAACATTCAACGCACTCGCCTGTTGCATAAATTGCAGAGTCGGCACGCACCAATTTTGCTTGAATTTCAATCATATTAATGACATTATTTTGTTATTATTATTTTTTGTTTACTCCAAATCCAAAACAAGAACTAATTGCCTCGTTTGTTATGGGTTATGGGTAATCAGCTCAAAATCAGTCTCTGAATTCTGGAGTTCTTGTAATTTGGTTAAATTACGTATTTTAATTATTCCTTTAATTTTATTTAATTAAATCAATTCGTGTTTTTGTGTGTCGTCGATACATTTTATAGTTTGCGCTATCGACTATCATTTGCTGCGATTAGCTCGGCTTAAATATCGATAGATATTGCTGCGTTACGTTAACGTAAGGCAGCAATTGTTAAATTTTGTTGTTATATATCTAAATACTGGCTTCTCACCCTAAAAACAGCTTTACTTCTCTCTGCTGACCGGCTCATATGCGTCGAAAATGAATAAAGATTTGCATAAAATTTGTGTAAGTTGTTTGGCGGAACATTAACATTTGCTAAACTGTTCTTAACAGCGAGCAACAGTTGAGCTATTGATAACTATCGATAAGTCTTTGTCGTTTCATTTTGTGTTGTAATTCGCCCCGCTAGCATTGCGTTTCGTTTTGCCGTCCCCTTTGAGTATCAATTCAGACGTCGTCGCTTTCAAACGTGTTACGCGCGTGGTTCGCGCTTTGTTCGTTTGACAAATTCGTTCAATTTCCAAGAAAAAAGAAAATTGCAACATCAACAACGCAACAAGTGTGAAGTGTTGTGCGTATGCGTAAATCAAAATAATTACTAGTAAAAATCGGAGTGCTTCAGTTTTTATTTTAGTTGCTTTTATAGCCATTCTTTGCTTTGGCCTTCGATCTGCGCGATCTGTGCGTCAAAATGTGCAGCAGCAAAGTTAAAAATGATTTGAGTGCTGCGTTAATTTAATTAAGCGTGGCAATAAATTTGCTGTTAATTTCTTAGTGTTAATGGTGAAAAATTGTAAAAAGTGTTCATTTATGCTGGGATTATACTGGATGTGTTCATTTTTGGATTTAAATAGAGCGGCGAAACGTGACAAAAGGTAAGCCATAAATTATTTGTGTCATTTCCAGTTTAGATGCTAGTAATTATTGTCAATTGAGCGCAAGAGCAATAAATGCATCTCTCGGAGAACAAACAACAATTGCAATGTCCGGCTTAGCAACAACAGCAACAACGACAACAAAATGCAGCAACAACAACCACAGTAGCAACGCATTCCAACGCCGTCGGCATTTTGCCTACATATTTTGCTCCGTTTTGTTTTTTTTTTTTTAGTTGTGGAGAGCGACGGACGCCACCCGCTATACTCTACATTCTTTTTGTAACGCTCTTTTGCTCGTTGTTGTTGTTGCTTCCATCTGCATAGGTAAAAGAAGCTACGTTAATTCGGATGTGGTTTTGCGCTTCAAAATCTCCATAAGCAACAACAACAACAAAACAATAAGAAAAGGGTGCGTCGACATTCAATGTTGTTGTCTCGCCTTTACTGTGTTTTGCTGCTTTACTTTTTGCTGTTCACCTTCGTACGGTTATCACAGCGTACATTTTGATCTGCCGTTTCGTTGAAGATGTTGCTTGCTGTGGCTCCCAGCTCTTAAAGTCTCCACTCACTCACACGCACGCATGCCCTCACGCATACCCATGCAAACAGTTATACCTGTTTTATTATTTGAGCGCAGCCGCCGCGCTCGCGAGCACTTTATGGCGGGGACTCACTCCATTGGAGCCGAGCGCCGGCGCGACGACGACGACGCCGACGACTGGAAGATCGGAATTTTTAGTGCAGCTCTACAACAGCGAACAGCAACATGTTGTTATTCTTGTTGCTGTTGCTATTTTCTTTGACAACAGGTTTATAAATAAGTACACATACACACACAAACACACTTGGCATAGAGTAGCTTTTACATGCTACTCAATTCTACTACGTTTTCCACGCTGCGGTGGGTGTTATGCAGACTACCTTTTTGCATGGCGGATTTGCTTTTTTAGCTACTACTTTCGGTCATTGTACTGATTGCATTGTTGTCTTGCCCACCGCCTGCAATAAAACAATTGCAGTCACCAATGTGTGTGTGTGTGTGGGAGCAGTGCTGCCAACTTTTGAGCAGCAGAAAAAAAGCTGGTTCTAGGGGAAGGAAGTGGGAGAAAAGTTGAGATTCTGTTGTGATAAAAAAGCCTGAAGATTTGTGAAACTTTGGGTTGGCTTTCAAATAGATATCAACTTTACGTTCCTTTCAAATTTCTTTCGCAATTGCAATTTTCAACAAGCCATATTTGACAACAACAAAAAAAAGCGGCAACACTGGAATAGAGTTATGTATGGGGCTTTATTTTTTTGCAGGCAGCATGTTTTTTTTTCTGGCGGTTTCTGCAAGCTTGTTTTGCTGCTGTCTTGTTTAAAGTATATGTATTTTACGCTAAATTACAGCTATGTACGTTTTGGCGCCTTGGATTTTTTATGCTTTGCTTTGCTTTTTTGCGCTTTGCAAACTGAACTTTGTACTTTGGCTCGCTGCATGACTCACAGTCGTTCAGCTTAGCTGGGCTTTGGCTGGAAAAAGGCCCAGCCTTAGCTGCTTTACTCGAATTTTAGAATGAGAAAAACTTTAATTAAAAGCTCGTTCATTCAATGTGGCGTATATTTGTCATATCTAGACTTTGGGTTCGCTTTCTGTAATCTTGGCCTTATCAATAATGCGACACAAGAGTGGTTCGTGTCCCAAAAAGGCGAAAGATAAGCCAAATATGTATTGGCCTATAAAAAATACGTAAGTAGTGACAAAAACAACATCGATAACAACGAAAATTACGCACAATGCAATTGCATTTAGAGCAGATGATAAGCAGAAAGGTAAATAAAACCCAAATAATATCAAGAAAAAAAGTCAAACTAAATAAACGCAAAAGCAAAACAAAAAAAAAAAAAGAAAAACAAATCAAGTGAACCAAGCGAATGCGGCAAATATAGGCCAAACGATCGAAAAAAAAGAAACGCCCAAACAGGCAGAAGCAGACAGCAACTGGCACACGTGCGAGCGTATGTGTGTAGTTACAGGTGCCAGCTAATCTAATTACGACATAGCCTAGACTCGTATCAAATATTTGCCCATTGATAATACAAAAAAAATGTTAGTTGAATGTGTGTTTGTATTGAGGGCGCACTTTCTAGTGTGCCGCAGGTATTGCAACAATCTGTGACACACACATACGTATGTATTGTAATAATTACAAAGAATTCTAAAAATAGCACAGAGTAGGGAATGCGGAATGGAATGGGAAATAATTAAAGCGCATTTCTAGCTCAGCTTGGAAGCTGATACTCACCACAATGGTAACCCCTTCCAGCCTCCAATTTTCGCCATCTCTTTCTTGTGCCTATTTCGCAATTGGTAATCGGAATCTCGCACAATGTTTATTTTTGGCATGTGCATGCCGAGTTTTTGCCTCGACCGTGCTTTGTTTACTTTTGCTTTCGTTTTGGCATCGTTTTCGGTATCGAAATTGGATTTCGAATCGGAATCGGTATCGCTGTCGGCTTATTGTTATGCACAAATTATAGTTTATTATGCTTGGGCCTTAGCTGGAAATTCGAGCTTTTTGGTGGCGCAGCTGCCGCTGCTGCCTTTTGCCGTTCTATAAACAAAGCGGAATTTCTAATTGCGTTCAATTCGTGCGAAATCAAAAACAATATTTAAGCAACAGAAACTCAAAGAAAACGAACGGTTTCCGTGTTTAGATAAACGCGTTTGTAAAGTGAAGGGGGTGGAGCTTAATACATGTGGAAATATATGACTGAATGCTGTTGATAGCAATGAAAAATATATTGTGAATAATTAATTAAATCAAACAACCAAAAACTTTATGAGACCTGTTTCACCTTACTTTGCAAAGTCCAGCGAATGGGTGGAAAGCTGAAGAACACTTGGCCCGATCAAAGCAGGTTAATAATGGCTTGTATATGTAACTATGTATATTAAAATACTTGCTCTATAAAAACGGAATATTTGACTTTGGACCTTAAACCCAAAAATTGAAATGCACATGAAGAGTTTTTAGCAAACCAAAATCCAAAAAAAAAAAGGAAAAGGACCGCCGAATGGATTAGACATTTGCGTTGATTTAGTGCGGTCAGTGCCACGCCCAGCCGCAGACCATGGACCGCCCCTCGAAGCTGGGAGCAAAACCCGTTTTGCAAATCAAATGCGCCAACAGCTCAGCTAACTTGTTTTTTATTGTCTACCGTCTGACCATGATTTTGAGCTGAATGTTTGTCCATGAGCTGGCGACAGCGTGAGCTATTGTCCGAGTCCCGATCTGTGTTTTGTAGACATATATCTTCTCTATATATAAAACTGTTTAGTCGTGAAGAGCTGTAGTTACCTTATGTGAGGAAAGTGCACATTAAGACGGGGTAGAAATTCCACTCGCATGTGTGAAAAAATCGCGAAAACGTTTGCATGAAACTGTTTTTGTTTGCCATCCGATCGGCCTCAAACTTATTTTCAAATATTTTTGTTCAAAATTATTTGAACGGTGTTTCTTACTTTTTGGGCAACGCTTTAAGTTTGCTTATATATGTATGCCTGTTTGTACATACATATATGTATGTATGCATGTTTGTTTTGTATATATGCAAATATGCATACATGCGTAAATGTATGAATATATGACCGAATACCTACAAACATACATATGTACATACATACATATTGACATACATATGTGCATACATACATATGTATATACACATGTACATGCATACATATGTACATGCATACATATATATGTATGTATGTATGTACAACAAAAATAACTACGCTACTAGCTAAGCATTAAAAACTGCAGGGCCTTCTTGAATTCTTGGGAATCGAGGAGTAAAGCACTTGGTAAAAATTCGTTTTATTTAAATTTGCAGAACAGCGACAAAAAGCTTGGCCTGCGTTTGGTATTAGAAAACCAACATGCATGCATACACACATACATAAATGCATACATACATGCATGCATACACTAACATACTCACATATGTACATGTTATACTTACATACAAACACATTCACATACATGCATACTTCTATGCACATACATACACACGTAAATACATACATACATGCATGCACATACAAATATATACTCATACACACAAATATAATGGCTTTTCGATTTTCGACACAATTTGCTAATAAAACATGAAAATTTGTCTATATATTTCATGCTTTTTTGGAATATTCAGCCAATGTCATTGGTATTTTAGCCTTTTCTTCTTCTTCTGCCTGTTAAGTAATGTCCGTGTCGGCAGCCTATATGTACATATATAAATGTATACATATGTACATGTGCATGTATGTAGTACACATATTGTTCCACTTTATTTGCATATCGTGTGCGGTTTCATGCATTTTCAAAGATCTACTTCATCGTGTGCCCCGTTTCGTCTCTTCTCGTTTCGTTTCGTTTCGACTCGACTCGACTCGTCTTGTCGTGTGAGAAAGTTGTTGACCAAGCAACCAACGCCAACAAGAACGGGCGGCTTGAAGGGGGGTGAGGAGAAGGAACACCGCAATTGCATAAACAACGCCCTCATCCGACTGACTGCCCAGTCAATTCATGAAATTCATTCCCAGTTCCCACTGGCTATCCGGCCCTGGGGTCGAGTCTCTTCCCGCACATTCCTCAAACAGACACAGGGCTCGCATTACTCAACGACAACAACAAAAACAAGCCTACACGAAATCCCAAAGAACTCCCGGTTCCATCTGACTCCATTTGCGGAACGGAGCTCTCTGCGCACATAACTGGGATTAATGGCATGAATATTTTAAAATTACCTCCAAGAATTAAAATTCCTCTATTAATTTGCTCCGATTTTTCCTAAAGAATGAAAAAAAAGGGGTCAATATGCAGTACAGTGCACCTTTGAATAAAAGTCATGTCAAAAAAATTCAAGTTATTCATATACATACTTAACAAGCTTCGAAGTTCCAATTTTAAAATGGTATCAAATATTACATTCTCCATAAGAAAAGAAGATAATAA